ACACTGGAGAGTACACACTGGAGAAAAGCCTTATGAGTGCAGCGAATGTGGGAAAGCCTTTGCTCACAATTCCAGTCTCACTGAGCACTGGATAGTTCACACAGGAGAAAGCCCTTATAAGTGTAGTGAATGTGGAAAATTGTTTAGCCAAAACTCCACTCTTATTAAGCATCAGAGAGTTCACACTGGAGAAAGGCCTTATAAGTGCAGTGAATGCGGGAAGTTCTTTAGCCAAAAATCCATCCTCAGTTATCACCAGAGAGTTCACACTGGAGAAAGGCCTTATGAATGCAGTGAATGCGGGAAAGCGTTCAACAGGAACTCACACCTGATTCGTCACCAGAGAGTTCACACACAAGAAAGGCCCTATGAGTGCAGCCAATGTGGGAAAGGCTTTAGTGAAAGATCCACACTTGTTCGACACCAGAGAGTTCACACCAGAGAAAGGACTTATGAGTGTGGCCACTGTGGGAAAACCTTCAGCCGCCTCTGCAACCTTGCTCAGCATAAAAGGATTCATACCTGAGTAGAGCCTTATGGAAATGGTTTTGTGAGAAAATCTCCACCAGGTCAAACTTCATGTAGCAGAATACCCACAGAGAAATTATCTACATGTACCACTAATCTGCCTTTTCTGAGCAGACCAGGAACCTAGGCAGAGCTATCTCTCCACTGGAGCATAAACATCTTTCCAGCCTGCTTGAATCCAAATATTTGCAGCGATCATCTACATATGCAAGGAAAAAAGAGCTACCTTCCTAGAATGAATCAGGATTGTCCTGGGCCAATTGGAGTGGCTTTATTCCCATTATCACTGGGTTAGGGAATAAACTGACCCTGTTCCAATCAGCAGGCTTTGAGGGATGTCCAGTTTGGGCTTCTCAGGAAGATGCATGTTCCTTATGAATGTCGTCAAGTCTGCATGTAATTCCAGTGGTGTGTCCAGTAAGCCCACAAATCACCCTCCCCTGAAACCACTAATCTTGGTCTGCCCAATATTGCATAATAAAGACCTTATAAGACATGTCACCTTTAGTCTTGGGGGTTGTGGTGTGGTAGGTTGAGAGAAGATATGGGTAGAGTTGGGGAATGGCTTATAGAGGGCACCCAAAAGTATGTGCCTCAGGTACTAGAAATGCAGGGAGTTGCTCTCCTATTGTGGCCTACTTTGCATTGCTCTCTGAAGGACTGGGAAAAACAGGCTTGTGGAGTGAACATTGTGGCCTATGTTTCAGAGCTCCTGAGGGCCGGGAGCTCACCCTGAGGAGGGAAGGTACTACTTAGCAACACGAGAGTGGACTGTTGGGTTAGGAGGCAGGTCCTTACTTCCCAGGGAGAAGTCTGGGCTCCCCATCTGACAAGTTGTCTTCTGGTTCCTAAAAGAGATGACCCTGAGAGACCATTAGAGTCTCAGTGGGTACTATATATGGATAGAGAAGCACTGTGTGTGGTAAGGGGAAGTCAGACAGTAATAAACTATAGGCCTATGCCACCTTGGACAGAATAGCAGCTGCAGTTATCCGGTATGCAGGGTGAAGCAGGTATGATGATACCTGCAGGGGCCATGTGGGAGCCATCATTATTACAGCAACACAGGCTGTGGAGAAGACTGGCAACCTAGAGGGGACTTGGCTATTCTAAAGGTCCATAAAAAAAAATTCTGGATGACTATGGCCAAGTGGGATAAGAGTATGCAGAACTCAGGACCTTCATGTATCCTCACTGGGCAGTTCACCTCATGGCTGTCACTGCATAGGTAAGAACCTCCAACACCAAGAGAAGACAGAGCTCGTGGTCTGCAGAGTGGTTTGTGTGTAGCCAGGTTTCTTAAAAATTCACAGCCATGGTCTTCATTACTCCACTTCTGATTGCCCCCAAGCAGATATGTACTTTTTTTTTCTTTTTTTTTTAATGTTTTGTTCGTGATTTATTTTCTAGTCATTTTCTTTTTTTTTTTCCATTTGTATTTTTTAAAATTTTGGTATCATTAATATACAATTGTGGTTACTAGATTCCCCCCATTATCATCAGGTCCCTCCCACATATCTCATTACAGTTACTGCCCATCAGCATAATAAGATTCTATAGAGTCACTACTTGTCTTCTCTGTTATACTGCCTTCCCCGTGCCCTCCCCCCACATTATGTGTGCTAATCGTAATGCCCCCTTTTCCCCTTGTCCCTCCCTTCCCACCCATCCTCCCAAGTCCCTTTCCCTTTGGTAAGTGTTAGTCCATTCTTGGGTTCTGTGAGTCCGCTGCTGTTTTGTTCCTTCAGTTTTTTCTTTGATGTTATACTCCACAGATGAGTGAAATCATTTGATACTGGTCTTTCTACACCTGGCTTATTTCAGATATGCCCTTTTTAATGGATAGAGAGACAGCATAGTGAGTTAATATGGGTTTCCCAGATATCTTGGTTTTCCAAGAAAAGCCAGATATTGGAGTCCTCTGACATGAGAGGTTTTGGCCTGCAGCATCCATACGGCATGGTGGGTCAGAAGCCATTGCTGCCACCACCTTAGGGTGATACTCTTTTCTCCAAAATCCTAGAGGGGATAAGGAGTGGCAATCACATTTGGGCAGAAGTCTTGCAGTCAGAAGAACTTTTAACAAGGCTACTCAAGTACTCGGCAGCACCATGTGGTAGTTGGGAAAATTCCCCACCCTGCTCAGGCCTTTCTTCCTGGATGTAATAATTGTCTTCTACCAACATGGGGGAATCATGTGGGATCAGAATTAAAAGGCCAACTGAGCCTCAGTGGGACTTAGGCTTCTCGGCAAATGGGTGTAGGGTGGACGCTGGTCATCAGAGCTCAGTCCTTTGTGCCCTGTGGGTGGCTGTGGTTATATGTCCTCAGTGGTCCAAAATTTGTGGGTAGAGTCTTCTGCACATGCCCTGAACTGGCCTTCTGGTCTCCCATTGGGGCTCAGTGCACAGCAGCCAACCTGCTGGGGAACAGAGATGTTTGCCTGTGATGCCAGATTGCTCCAGGCCAAGGCTCAATGGCTCTGTCTGGCCTTTGGGCTGTCCTGGATACTAGTCTGTGTGGGGCTCAGTAGTTCCATGCTGTCAGTCCTCCCTCAACGCAGCAGGTAGGTGCCTTCAGGCATCTAATACTGCCTGCAGACGGATGCTGTGCATTCTGCCCTCGCCAGTGGAAGCAGTCCCCTGCCTTTGGGCCTGTGCCTGTGCCCTCCCTCATGAGCGATGCCCTCTGCTGTCTTAACCTCTCTCAACCTTGCCTCTTTTCTAGTGCAGCTGTGTTATCCCTCCTTCCTGTTGGCGTCAGTTTCTTTGACCTCTGAACCTTCAGCCTGACACCAGCCCGCTGCTACCCTTGTGTTTTTCTACATGATTGCGCCACAAAAGCAAATACTTCAGATCTCAAGGGTATACTTCTTTTCCTGAAACTTGGCAAAAAAATGGTTCAAGGTGGGATTGATCTTGAAGACTAGAATTAAACAAGAATTTTAAAGGTTCTTAGAATTTTAAAGGTCCTATGACTCCTCTCAGGCTACTATAACAAAATACCATAGGCTGAGTAGCTTACAAAACTAATTTATTTTTACGTAGTTCTGGAGGCTGGGAAGGTCAGAGTGCCGATATAGTCAGGTTCTGGCAACGACCCCGTTGCTGGCTGCTTTCCTGCTGGGTCTTCACGTGGAAGAGGGAACTCTGGTCTTCCCTGCTCTAGTCCCAGCACAGGGCCCCACCTTCATGACCTCATCTACACCTATGTCCCCAAAGCCCCCCCTCTAATACAAGCACACTGGGGATAAGGAATATATGAATTTGGGGGGATACATTCAGTCCATAACATCATCTAAGGAGGAAATGTGATTCTTTGGTATATGAAGTGCTAAGTCTTCATAGTGACAGGATGCAATGTCAGCTTTATAAGATAGAACAAGTTGGTGACATTGTGAATATTAACACAGCAGCAGTGGAACTGTTGGGGATATTTTCAATTTGATGCCTTATTCTGTGACTTTGCTTAACACTCCAAAACCCCCAGAGGAAAGGGAGTTTTCTAAAGTATTCAGACTCTCTCTGGCCCTGTACCCATCAGGCTTCCCCAATCCCTACCAGTCACAGCATCTTATGGTGAGGCCATGAGATTTAAAAAAAGACAAAAAACTGCTAAAAAGGATAATTGGTACAACCTGAAAAATATTTAAAAAATTAGTAAACCTTTAAGGAACTTTGGGCTTCTATAACAAAAATACCATAGACCGGGTGACTTATATACAACAAATTTATTTCTCACAGTTCTGATAGCTGGAAGTTCTGAGATCAGGGTGCCAGGACAGTCAGGTGAGAGCCCTCTTTTGGGTTTCTGACCTGGGTTTTATCTTCACATGGCAGGAAAAAGTAAGGGAGGTTTCTTAGGCCTTTTTATATGACCGCTAATCCCAGTCATGAGGACCTGGTCTTCAAAAGGCCCCACCTCCTAATACCATCACGGGGGTGGGGCAGGGGCAGCTGAGTTTCAACATGTGATTTTTGGGAGGGCGCATTAAGAGTACTATAAGGGCAATTTTTTAAATCCTTCTTGTCAAGGATACAGGCCAATATCTGTATTGGAGCATGTTTTAAAGACTTAAGTTTTTACTTTTTAAGTAAAAGTGTAATAGTTTGTACACAATGAGGGTCAAATTTTTCATGAATTTCCTCAATTTCTCACTCTAGTTGTATGGGTCAAATAAGTTATCAGTCTCCATTACAAAACAGAATTGTGTTTAATTAAACCTGAGTGGATATTATTTTAGAGGGTTTAATTTTATGAAATTCCTACAATACAAACCGTAAGAACTTAATGTGTTAGCAAAAATTGTAATTTTCAGATCTTCATTTAATTTTAATACCTCAGACAAATATTAGAGTTAATTAAGAATCTTTAGATACCAAGAACATTTTAAGCAACAAAAAGATACAAATTATTGACCCCTGAGCACACCTTTAATATCTTAGGATGATGATAAAGCAACAAGGTAAAGCTAATTACTGCGTGATATTGCAGATGTGTATTGTTCATATATTTATTTTTGCCATCCCAAATTATTAAAATGAATTGTGTTATCAGTGGGACAAAGATTAGCCAAGTAGTTCTCAGATTTCATCCCTCTCTTTTCTCTTGATCCTGTAGAAAACAAAAGTCAGTTACTTTGGTTAAAGATGATCGTTAACACAAATGGTTGACTCTACTGGTTAAATAATAACTGGGAACGGCAAATGTTTGTATGGAATAATGGGTATGATTTGAATATTTGTTTATTAAGAAATTGATAGAATTATTGAGAGTGGTAAATTTAACATATTTCTTTATTTCATTATTTGTTTTTAAAACTAGATTTAAGAGCTTAAACTGATATTATATGTCTCATTATATTTATGTGCTGTATTTTTCTAAATACATATGAAGATATATTAGTAATTCCTCTACTAGAAATTGTTACCCAAATAACATACAAAAGGCATCAAAGTCTAAATTATCCCGTGACTCAAATACTCAAATAGCATAATCTCTCTCTCTCTCTCCCTCTCTCTCCCTGCTCGCTCTCTCTCTCTCTCTCTCTCTCTCTCTCTCTCTCTCTCTCTCTCTCTCTCCTCTGCTAGGTTGGGTCCTGCTTCTTGGTCGGAGAGAGCTTCCATGCTTGGGGAACCAAACACCTCCATGTGTCCACATGCCACTGAGGCAGGCCCCAAACTCCACAAAGGTGGAAGCTCCTTTATTTGGGACCTTGCCCCATGTCTCTCTTCATCTGGCTATTAACTTGTATCCTTTATGGATCCTTTATTAAACTGGTAAACATAAGTGTTTTCCTGAGTCCTGTGAGCCATTCTAGCAAGTTAATTGAATCTAAGCAGGGATCCCTGGAACCTCCAGTCTGTAGCTGGGAGGTCCAAGCACAGGCAACTGCCTGGGACTTGCAACCAGCATCTAGAGTGGTGGGTGGAGGGCAGTCTTGTAGGACGGCGCCCTTAACCTGGGGAGTCTGGTGCTATCTCAGGGCAGATGGTATCAGACTTGAGCTGCATTCTTGGACACCCTACTGGTGGTCAAGAATTGCTTTGTGTTAGTATGTGTGAGAAGACCCCCCTCCCACATACTTACACACATTGGAATCAGGTCTGGGAACCTGAATGAAGTTACACTACCATTACTGTGGTGTATGTATTCTTATTGTTATACATATATGTAGGGACAAAATACACCATAGCATTTGGTGTCAGATGGGGAATCACACCAATATACTATGTTAACTCTGCATTTTTTTTTTACATAAACATAAGTTATTTTTGGTAAATCATTCTTTATGTTAAAGTTGAGTCTCTAAAATCATTGTTGTGTATTGCTGAATTAGCTGTAATTATTTCATATCTTTAAATATTTTTGCTAATCTTGTGTCCCCTCTATTGACTGAACTTGATTTCCCCTTTCTGAAGTTCGGTCCTCAAACTCAGAATAATAAAATTGTTAAGATGCCTCTTATTCCCATCTGACTTTGGGCTTCCTAAAAATAGCCATGAATCCATAAAAGATATTCATTTTATAAATGGATAGGTAATAGCAAGAATTGGTTTTGTCTGACATCCTCCACATTTAATAATTTGAAACTACTAAGAAAAATGCTTTGATTTACCAAACTTCAGATAAAAGAAAAATTAAATTTGGCAAAACAAAGATGCCACCTTTTTTTTCATTAAGGTATTATTAATATACACTCTTATGAAGGTTTCACATGAAAAAGCAATGTGGTTATTATTCACCCCTGTTATCGTGTCCCCCCCATACCCCATTGCAGTCACTGCCCGTCAGTGTAGTAAGATGCCGCAGAGTCCCTATTTGCCTTCTCTGAGCTACACTGTCTTCCCGCCGATCCTCACACTGTGTGCCAATCATAAAACCCCGCAATCCCCTCTCCCTCCCTCCGCTCTCCCTCCGCAATCCCTCCCCTTTGGTAACCTCTGGTTCCCTTCTTGGAGTCTGTGAGTCTGTGGCTGTTTTGTTCCTTCAGTTTTGCTTTGTTCTAATACTCCACATATGAGGAAAATCATTTGGTATTTGTCTTTCTCCGTCTGGCTTATTTCACTGAGCATAATACCCTCCAGCTCCATCCATGTTGTTGCAAATTGCAGAATTTGTTTCTTATGACTGAATAATATTCCATTGTGTATATGCACCACATCTTCTTTATCCATTCGTCTACTGATGGACACTTAGGTTGCTTCCATATCTTCCTGGCTATTTTAAATAGCGCTGCGATAAACATACGGGTGCATGTGTCTTTTTGAATCTGAGAAATTATATTCTTTGGGTAAATTCCAAGGAGTGGAGTTTCTGGGTCAAATGGTATTTATATTTTGTTTTTTGAGGAACCTCCATATTGCTTTCCACAATGTTTGAATTAGCTTACATTCCCACCAGCAGTGTAGGAGGGCTCCCCTTTCTCCACAACCTCGCCAGCATTTGCTGTTCTTAGTCTTTTTGATGCTGGCCATCTTAACTGGTGTGAGGTGATATCTCATTGTGGTTTTAATTTGCATTTCCCTGATAATTAGTGATGTGGAGCATCTTTTCATGTGCCTGTTGGCCATCTGGATTTCTTCTTTGGAGAAGGGTCTGTTCATATCCTCTGTCTCACCTCTGATGCCGCCATCTTTAATCGTCCAGAGTCACTAGGTTTTTTCCTAGGTGTCCCATTCCCTCCCCAACAGGTTGGCTGCTGTGTATGGATACCTAGAAGGAGACCAGGCCTCCCACAGAGGGTACAAAGGATGGAGTTCTAGTGACTGATGTCTACCCTACCCCCCACTTACTTGGAGATCTGAGACCTGCCTGGCTTGGATGGATTTTAATTCTGCTCCCACAGAGACCCCCACGTTGGAAGCAATTGTTACCTCCAGGAGGGAGCACCTGAGCAGTCCTCGGGGGGCATGTACCTTAGTGCCAGGGAGAGACTGAGCAGACTGGCCAGAAACTGCCCGCTGCAATCCTCCCCTGGGGTTTACCTGGCGTGGTTGTTACCCATCCTGCCGTCAGGAAGTGGGAGAATCACCCTGGCTGGAGAAGGCTCACTGCTGCGGCAGGAAGACCCTCAAGTCTGGGACCACCACCTCTCTCTCCAGACATGCCTCCCAACTAACATTCTCTTCTCGGCAGGAAGCACAATTTTTTAACCAGGGGAAAAAGCTACAATCAACATACAAGTTTTGCTGATCTGATATTTTATTTACTTTTTGAGGACATAGTTTCCAAAAATGTTTAAATCAAAAGGACCCACAAACCAGAAGATATGGATCCATATGTTGATTCAACCACTCTCTCCCTTGAGTCCTGGGACAACGGCTCCAAGAACAATGAAAGCCACGGTATGCAGACACCAGGAACACTGGCTGGGTCACAAGAGCCACATCCCAGAACACAGGGTCTTCTTTCCTAGTCCCATGAGGTGAACATGCTCAGGAAGGCTGTGCGAATCCAGAAAAACAGTAGATTAGTTGCGGACAGTGACCCTGACCACAGGTAACAGGTCTGCAGTTCCCGAGTTCTACAATTCTCACCCCATGAAACCACAATTGCTAGAACATCTGTGGATGCCTCTTAAGAACCAAGTCAAACCCTCTACTGCACCGCCCATTCCATACTGCTTCACTCGGTGTTGCTCTGCCCACCTGCTCTTTCCCACAGGCCCCTGTAGGTCTAGAACTTACCTGCACATTCTGAATTTCGGAGAACATGGCTCCTGGAAACACTCTGACCAATGCTGAAGGTTGAGGAACATTCCCTGGGAGCGCAGGACCCAGCTCATGTTGTCCCTGGATGCACGAGTGATCTGCTGCCAACCGCCTCGTTCAGGATGAGCTCTGGCCCACAAGTGAACCTGACATCCAGGCTACAAGACTCCCACAAAGCCCTTCCATCTTGCCCTGGAAGTCTCAGGCACCAGTGCAAATGAGGCCAACCTCAACTGGAGCGTATCTGTGCCATCCTGCTGTCCCCACTGTGGCACATAAAAGTCAGGGACCCCCCCCAAAGAAGCCATTCCCTCTACTCATGAGTCCAATTTTGTTCTCAGTCCCTCCACACACAGGGGATAGAAACCCCAGTATTAAAGGTGGTTTAAACAATAAGGCCTTTATTACCATACATTCCAGAGCAGTGTGACAAGTCAGCTCCATGGTTGGATAAATCCACGAAACATGTAAAATGTCGACAGTGTCCATGAACATGGTTAACTTTCCTGGGAAGCCCCCAGCGGACACTGATCAGCTATTCCTGGCCAGAGCTAGGTCATGCCCATACCTGAAGCAGTCAGAGGGAGGGAATGCAGCCCATCACAGCCTCCGCCATTCATGGTTCTCTCCTGTAAAGAGCAGATAGCACAGAGGCGTGCTGTCCCCAAGCACACTGGGGGTTGATGCACACTGCAGGGACCTGCCAGGTAGTAGAGGTGTGATGGCTTCTGTCACAGACACTAGCAGTGACCACACTGCCACGAGCCTGGGCAGGTCAGAGTGCAACATAGCTCCTGAAAGCTTCCGATACCCAGCACCCCAGGGTGTGTGTTGGGGTGTGTGAGGTTTCACTTTCAAAAGGCTATCTGCCTCAGCCTGCTTTCAGGAGTGAGACCTCTCCTGCTGAACTAGCCGCCAGCCATGGCTAAAGGCTCCCCCACATCCTGTCCTACTGCCGCTCTCCAGCGTGGACTTTCTGGTGCTGCAGGAGGGTAGAACTATGTTTGAAGGCTTTCCTACATTCTGTACATTCATAGGACTTCTCTTCAGTGTGGAATTGCTGGTGTCGATTACGGTAGGACCTGGTAGTGAAGGTTTTCCCACACAGGCTGCACTCATAAGGCCGCTCTCCAGTGTGGACTTTCCAGTGCTGGTATAGGCCAGAGCGGGTCACATAGGCTTTTCCACACTCGCTGCACTCGTAGGGCCGCTCTCCAGTGTGGACTCTCCGATGAAGAATGAAGCTATGGTTGTATTTAAAGAACTTCCCACACTCCCTGCACTCAAAAGGCTTCTCTCCAATGTGGACTCTCCGGTGCCGGATGAGAGTAGACAGAACGCTGAAGGCCTTCCCGCACTCGCGGCACTCGTAGGGCCGCTCTCCAGTATGGACTCGCTGGTGCAGAACAAGTGCATCTTTGCGGCTGAAGGTTTTCCCACATTCACCACATTTGAAAGGCTTTATGCCTGTGTGAACCTTCTGGTGCTTCCTCAGTTTAGATGGATAACTGAAGGCCTTCCCACATTCATTACACATGTGGGATGTTTCCCTAGTGTGAGCTTTTCGGTGATGAACAAGGGTTGAGTTCTCCCTGGGGTCACTTCTACCTGCTGGGCATCTGAATTGTCTCTCTCTGGAGTGAGTTATCAGGTGGTCAAGGAGCACGAAGGCCTTCAGGAAGGCTTCCCCGCAGTTGCTGCACTTGAAGGGCTTCTGTGTTGCACGGACCCCCCGTTGCTGCTGGCCGTTGGAGCTGAGCGGGAGGGCCTTGTGCTCAGTGTTCCTGTGTGCCTTCGCTTTGCTGTGCACAGCCTGGTGCTGGAGGAGGCCTAAGATGGCAGGGACATCCTTCCCGGACTCCCCACACAGAAAGGGCTTCTCTGACAGGTGGGCTCTGCAGCTGTTCATCTGCTTTGGAGGGGCTTCCTCATTCTCCAGGCTACACAGACAACCTGAAATAGAAAAGTCAGTTACTAAGAACCAGATTAGAGAAAGGAGGCACCTTCATCACCAGTGCATATTAGACACGCCCAGGCAGGAGTCCAGAGAATTGCCAGGAGGTTTCTGGGAAGGTGTGGGTGAGAAAGGGCTAGCCCAGCAGAACAGAGCCCCACAGAACAGGGAAGCCCTCAACAGGGACGAGGACACAAAGATGGGATGGCACTGGGGTCTAGGAGTAGTCACCCCTCTGCTCCAAGCAGGGCCTGAGCTGCTGCTGACAGTGGACATGTGAGTAAGGCATGTCCACGCTGACGAAATGACACCTGGCTTGCAGTGACTGGGGTTCGAGTGTTATTTAAGGGTATGTATGCATCTCAAGTCACATGCACAGGAAGTCACTAGTGGACAGCTCTGTGTTGGCACAGAGAAGGGAAAATGACAAGATACAGAGGCCAGAGAGGTGGGTTACCCAGTGCCTGAGGGCCATGGTATAGATGGCAAGACCACAGAGTGTGTCCAGAAGGAAAAGGAAGGTAGGACTGTGTGGCCACGTCCTCAGGACCAAAGGTCGGTGCACACAGTACCCAGCATGCCACGAGTCCATCGCTGGACCCACGGCACCACACTCACCGTCACCAGGACGCTTCCCAGCCTCTGCTTTGCTGACCAGAGTCATGTTCACCACGCTGGGCGCCCAGGGCTCTTCAGCACCCTCCAGCTGAGCTACCACATGGGACCTCGAAGGTGCAAATCCTAGGAGGGAGAAAGGCAGTAAGGGGCCAGCCCAGGCCAAGGTTTATCCACCCCAACCTATAGGAAGCTCATGTCCTCATGGCAACAGGAATGAAACGTAATGTTAGAAAAGGAACCTCCTCTGGATATTAAAATCATTGTGAAGAGGGTAGATTCCATGTTATGTGTTTACCACAATTTCAAAGAAAAATAATATCCTATGAAGCAAAACTGACATAATTTAAGTAAGAAATAGATAAACAATAATAGTTGGAGACTTCAATTTCTAACTTTCAATAATAGATAAAATTACTAGGCAGAAAGTGAACACAGATACAGCACTTGAATAACATTAAAAATCAACTAGACCTAACAGACATCGATAGAACATGCCACCTAACAACAGCAGAATACGTATTCTTCTCACATTCTTACATGCACACAGAACATTCTCCAGAATAGATCATTTGCTAGGACACAAATTAAGCCTCAACAGATTTCAGAGGATTGGAATAATACAAAGTATATTCTCTGAGCACATAGGAATTAAAACAGTAATTGACTGCAGAAAGAAATCTGGGAAACTCACAAATTTATGGGATTCAAATGAAGCATTCCTAAATAATCACAAGGAAAATTACAAAGTACTTTGGGATGAATGAAAATGAAAATACAACATACTAACATTGGGGTGGGGATGGCTCAAAATCCAGCCTTCCAACAGTGCCTTGGTCTTTCTAATGACTAGCCCCCGTCCTGAAGCTATCTGGGGGTCCTCAGCCACCAGTCAATCCATCAGCATACAAAAGACATTTATCACTGCAGAAATTCCAAGGGTTTTAGAAGCTGTGTGCCAGGAACTGGGAAAAAGACAAAATATAAGCTTATTATATGGCAACACCCATATTTAAAAAGCTCTCAAACCAATAACCTAACTTTATATATACATCAAGGAACAGGGAAAAGAAAAGCAATTAAACCTAAAGCTAGCAAAAGGAAGGAAATAATAAAGAACAGAAATAAATGAAATGGAGATTAGAACAGAATCAATTAAACCAAAATTTGGTTCTTTGAAAAGATTGACAAAATTGACAAACTGCTACATAGACTGACAAGAAAAAAAACAGAAGACTCAACTTATTACAAACAGGAATAAAAAAGGAGACATCTAACAACCTCACAAAAATAGAAAGGATGGTAAGGAAATACTATGAGCATTATGCCCACAAATTAAATAACTTAGATAAAACGGACAAATTCCTAAAAGAGACACAAACTACCAAATTGACTCTAGAAAAAATAGAAAATTTGAACAGACTGAAAACCTTCACCCACCAAAAAAGAAAGAAAGAAAGAAAGAAAGAAAAGCCTAGGCCCAGATGGCTTCACTGGTAAATATTAGCACCAATACTTCACAGATTCCTCCAGAAAACAGAAGAAAAGGGAATACTTTCCAACTCAGCCATGGAAGCCAAAGTTACCCTCATACTTAAAAGACATTATGAGAAAACTACACTGCTGATAATTCTTATGAATATAGATGCAAAACCCCTCAACAAAATACTAGCAAACCAAGTCCAGAAATATATAAAAAGGATTACAAGCCCTGAAAGAGTGGAATTTATCCTAGCAATACAAGGCCAATATGAAAATCAATTTCTGTAAAATACCATGTTATTAGAATAAAGGGGGGAAAATCACCATCATTTTAATAGACATGGGGATGTATTAGAAAAATCTAATGACCTTTCATGATAAATGTGCTCAACAAACTAGGAAGAGAAGGGAACTTCACCTGAAAAGGGCATCTGCAAAAAACCTAGTTAATGTCATACTTTCTACTGAAAGACTTAATATTTTTCCCATAAGATTGGGAACAAGACAAGGACGTCTACTCTTGTCACTTCTATTCAGTAAAATCTTACAGATTCTAGTCAGGAGAGTTAGACAAAGGAAGAAGTAAAAATATCTCTATTTTATCTATCTTACATTCTGTATGTAAAGAAAATACTAAAGAATCCACTTAAAAAGCTATTAAAACTAATAAATGAGTTTTTATAGCAAGGTTGCAGTTTGCAAAATCAGTATACAAAAATCTGTATTTCTATACACCCACAATGAACAACCCAAAATGAAGTTAATAAAACAATTCCACTTAAAATAGCATAAAAAATACTTAGGAATACATTCAGTATTGTACACTGAAAACTACAAAACACTGTTGAAAAAAGTTTAAAGAGCTAAATAAAAGGAAAGATAACCCATGTTCATGAATTGAAAGATATTAAGATGACAATACTCCCCAAAATGATCTGATTAAAACTCATAGCTCAAGCCTGATCCAAATAAGACCTTAAAAAATTTCGTTCGGAGGAGGAAAGCAAAACCCAGAGCCCAGTGGAGCCGTGGCTTTAGCGGAGTAACAGGCCAGAGAGAGGCAGAGCTGGATGAGATTTGTTGGGGAAATCATGAACATCTGAACCCCAAGTCCTACTCCGGGAGGGTGTGGCGCAGCAGGCATTGAGGATGCTAACAGGGATGCTCAGAGAGAGGCGGGGGAGAGCACACACAGCGGGCCTGGCTCTGAAAGCTCCAACAGGGAACCTGGGGAACAAGCAGCCTCTGTGCTGGGGCCTTAGGTTGGACAGAGCCTCCCGCAGGAAAAGGCAGAGGTGGTCCGCTTGCTGGACGAGGGCGTGAGGGGCTTACCCAGTGAGCCGATGAGCTCAAAGTTCTCCAACATCACATCACGGTACAGGCTTCTCTGGGTCAGATTAAGGAACTCCCATTCTTCTCCGGAGAAATACACGGCCACATCCTCAAAAGTCACCCAGCCCTGGAATGATGGCTTCAATTAAGCTTTGCGGTAAAAAGTGGGCAGAAAAGCCAACCAAAATATGGACAAAGGGAAACATACAGACCCTGACCTGTGCCTCAGGGTCCTGCCACATCTCTCATTGACATCATCTTTCCCTTTGAGCCCCCAAATTCCCACCGCCACCCCACACATACCCTCAACTTCGCTCCTCCTAACACCCCTAACCTCCTGGAGGAATTACCAGGGCCCCCAGTACCGTCAGTGCCTCACACCTCGTGTCCGTATTGGACTCTGCATCGAGCCCACAGCTTCAACAGGCTGATGACCAGACAGATGCCATCTATGTACCTGGCCAGGCACACAGAACCCACTCTATCCCCTGCCAGCCTATTCCCTCTGCGTCGCAGAGATCACCGACTAGGGGCAACCAAACATGTGCTCACCCTTCTTTTTTAGGCCCAAGCACCTGGTCCCGGGGCCCTCCAGTTTGCCCTCCTGCCCAAAAGGCACATAACTCTGTACCAGTACACGTTGCAACTCCACAGCCCCTGCACAACCTTACCAGTTCACCCCCCTGGCAAATGGCAGGACTCCCCACACGCCCGATCTGCAGATGGTGTCTCCAGGGGGACACTACAGACGGTGACCACAGTCCCGTCCAGCCCCACACCTCCCGAGCTCTGCGCTCAAGACCTCCTCGCTCAGACCCGTTCCTCGCGTCAACCGTCAGTCGCCCAGAACCACACACGGGCCCCGAGCTCCCGGGCGCCCCCTCCATTTCCGCCTTTGCCCGGGCCGTCCCTCCGCCTACCACAGCCTTCGCCACCCCTCCTCGGCCCACGCAGAACCCGGACCCACTGGGTGGGGCGCCTGGGGCGCCTGCGCTCACCTGCTCCTCCTCGGCCATCGGAACCTGCGGGCGGCGCGTGGCCGCGACAGGCGCTCGGCTTCCGCGGACGCAGCCGAAACCCGGACCCGCCACCCTCACCGCGCCGGGCGCAGGACCCCGGCCGACCTCGGGAAGCTCCGACCGCAGAGGCCCGGCGAGCGCAGCCGGGGCTCGGCCGGAAGTCCCGCGCGCGCCCGCGCCTCCTCACTTCCCAGCGCCCCCCGCGCGGCCGCTTGCTCGTTGCCACGGCGACGCGGACGGGCGCCTCTGCCGTCCGCGGGAGGCGCGTGGAAGTTTGGGTCGCCTCCCCTAAGTGACCTCGCCCGGCGCCCGCGCGTCCGCGGCCAACGAGCGCCGCTGGGGAGGGTCTCCCGTCGCGCGGAGCCGCCGGTCGGCGGGAACGGGTGGCGGCGCTGCGGCCGGCGCCCCGGAGGCCCCGCGGGCCCCGTTACCGCCCCGAGCCACGGTGCCCCCCAAGGAAGGGCGGCCCCTTCGGGCCTCTCCGCGCGCCTGCGGACGGTGTCCCCAGCCGCCCGGGGGTCGTCGCCCTTGGCGTTGTGCCCGCTTTACGGAGAGGAAGCCAGAGGCTCAGCGTCCGCAGCCCGATTCAACGGGCAGCTGACAGCCAGGGGCAGCGGCCCGGGGACCTCGGCCGAGGAGGACGTATGGAGACAAGCAGTTGGCTTTTAGAGGTGTTGAGTCTTCGCGCGCCGCCATCAAGGCCATGAACGGGTCTGGAGGGCCGGGATGTGTCCAGACTGCACATCCTCAGGGGACCGCAGGCTCGCAGCCGACCTCCTGTCAGGCCGCCATGCCTTCTCTGGTAGGGAGGAAGGTTGGGCACGTGGCTGAGGGTGTCAGTAGCAAGGTCTTGGGCACATCAGCACAGGAGGCTGGCGGGAGAACCCAGCTCCGGCTGTGTCTTGCCCTGAATTCAAACGCGCTCATCTTAAAGGATGTGACCCTGTGTTTCTTAGGAAGAACTGAGCACTTAGAGGAATCACAAGAGGATGATGCCGGAGAGCTTGGATTCCCAGCTTCAATGCATCAGGCCACTGACTTCCTCACTACCCCCAACCAGAATGCTTTTCCTGCTCATGCCATGTGCACCTTGGAAGTCGCTGTTGGTCCTGGAGCTGCGCCCAGGCTATGCTACCTGCTCGCTCTCCCAAGCTGCTTTATGAGCAACTCCCATACCTTCTACCCAGGATCCATGAGTGGCTGAGGTTGGGGGTCAGAAGTCTCTAAATCTTCCCAAGTCATGCCCAGCTCAGTCACTTTCTGTAAGATGCCCATACTTTCTGCACTAACACGGTAGTTGTTAGTAGGACCACTGAGCTGCCTTGGAGACTGCTAATCCCACTCCTCTGGCACCAAATGTAATGGTATCATCTTTTCCAACATACATGTATAAGAATATTATTCACAGCAGTAACAGTAGTATAACTCCATTCGGGTACCTGGACCCGATTCCAGTGTGTGTAAGTATGTGGGAGGGGAGTCTTCCCACGCATGCTTAGACCAAGCAATTCTCGAACACCAGCAGGGTGTCCAAGAACTCAATTCTGTTGCTATCTGCCTGGAGACAGCACCACGTTCCCTAGGTTAAGGGCTCCGTCCTACAATACTGCCCTCCACGACCCCCACTCCAGACACCAGTCACAAGCTCCAGGCAGCTCCCTGTGCTTCTGACCTACCCGCTACAGATTGGAGGTTCCCATGACCTCCCCCTTAGGTTCAGTTAATTTGCTAGAGCGGCTCACAGAACTCAGGAAAACGCATTTACTAGTTTAATAAAGGATACCACAAAGTATACAAGTTAACAGCCACAGGGCTGTATGAAAACATACACAGGGCAAGGTCCCAAATAAAGGAGCTTCTATCCTTGTGGAGCTTGGGGCCTGGCTCTAGAGGAATTGTGGTTTCCCAAGCATAGAAGCTTTCTCCAACAGAGAAGCGGGATCCAAGAGCAATAAGCTCTTCTCAGAGGTTTTTGTGAGGGTTTCATTGGGTAGTCATGATTGACTAAGTTATTGGCCATTGGCTGATGCAGCCTCCAGCCCCCGCCCTTGAGTGGCCTCCAGAAGTCTCTCATTAACATGACAAAACACCCGTTTCAGGGTTGTTGTCTTTTAAGGCTCTGCAGTGTTTTCAGGAACTGTGGATGAAGACCAAATATACCTGGGAAATATATATTTGGTCATACGATTGACCAAATATGTATTTCTTATGACTCATATCACAGAGAGGTTCCCTGGACATTGAGATTCCGAGGTTCAGTATTCTCAGCGTGGGGACGACCTCCCCTGACCAGGGTCTGTCATGGGGTGGGTTGGCCTCTCTGGGGCTGGGCTCTCACAAACAATGTCAGCCCCTACAGCTCTGGTGGCTTCCACATTGCGTGTGGTTGCCCAACTGGAATTGGTGAGATCGGCCCTGGTGATTGCCCCAGAGGTGGGTCATTCTCACACCTGGGGCTTGGCCCATGCCCTCTAGGTCCTGTTCCTCCCTGTCCCCCTACTGGTTTTTCACCCTCTTGAAAGCAACCTTGCTGGGAACCGGCTGAGACTGATGGGGTCAGTTGGGCACATTAATAACCTGTCCCCCTAACACATGTGAAGCCTTGAGGAAACAGCTATTGGGGCTACTCACAACGCTGCTCACAGAGATGTGGGCAAGTGCACCTGGCCCAGTTCCAGTACCAACCACAGGGAACCTGGGAAGAAAGCAGCCCTTGTGGTCCAGCTTTGGGGATGGAACTTCCTATAGGAAAGGCAGAAGGTGGTCAGTACGCTAGGGGAGGATGTGAGGAAGCAGTCATAGTACAGGTGTCTCTGGGTTACATTAAGGAGTCTCCGCTCTTCCTGGGAGAAATACACGGCCACGTCCCCAGATGTCACCAGACCCTACACTGATGTGTTCAGTTGATCCCTGGGTCAATGAGTGGGCAGAAAACCAACCAAAATATGGAGGGGGAACATCCATGCCCATGCCCTGGAGGAGTCCTAGCATGTCCCACACGGACATCCTATTTCCCAGAGGCCCAAACTAACCCCCCTACCCCCCTGACACATCCCGATAGCACTTTCTTCCCCAGAGCCACCCTTAGAGGGGGTACCAAGGTCCCAGCGCCACTGGTGCCTCTCTCACATTACTATTGGACTGTGCATCAGGCTGCATGCACCCCAGGTCCCCTTGCTGCTCAAAAGTCTTGTCCCCGGCACGTCCCCCTGCGTTCCTCTACTGACACAGAGCCAGCCTTCACAACAGCCTTAGTGACACCTACACCTTCCAACTGCCGGTCAGGACATCTGGTTCTCAGCCCCAACCTCCCCTCCTCCAACCTGTAGGAGCGTTCGTCACCATCCTTCATCCACCCCACACTGACCCGAGTCCACTTTCTGGCTCCACCTTTTGGATGTTTCCAGCCCTGGTTCTGCAGAATTCAAGAGCTGCACATCCGGGTGCCTCCACGGAGGCGTACCTGGACGTATGACGCTAAAAACCTCCAAAACCGCACTCCAGACATCCTCCCCAGCACTGCTCTAGCCACCAACTTCCACATCTCGGCTGAGAGAACTTCCATTTATCAGTCCACTGAGTCCAAACACCTAAGTTCATCATTAATGGATTACTGACCCACACTGCTTCGCATCAAAAAGTCCAGTTGGTCCGGCCGAAGTAACTATTCCAGGGCCCAAGCATCACCGCCACCCCCACAGCTGCCCGCCACAAGCAGCCTCCTCCATCAGGCACAGTCTCTTCTCCCCTCCTCAGCCAAAGGGCGCTGCCTAGCACCTGGGTCAGATCATCTCCCTCCTCCGCTCCAAGCCTCCCACGGCTCCTAGCACCTCGGAACACAGCCGAAATCCATCTCGGGCCCGGTTCCTGCCCCTGCTCACCGGTTCTCACCAGACATAAGTGAGACCTGAGGCTCCCTGAACAATACCAGGCCCGCCTCAGTGCCAAGCATTTACACATGGTGGTTTCTGTGTCTTTAACACTTCCCACACCACATCCTTTCTGCCTAACCCCTGACTGCAATTCCGAATTCTGGGCTAGATCTGACCCACAAGTCCCAGCAGTAAGGGCAGGTAGGTGAAGCGGGAGGAGGAGGGAGTCTCAGGATACTACCATCCCCTATAAGGGGGTCCGGGTGATTGAGGGCCAGGGACACCCTCCACTCACCTGCGCCAGGTCCATCACCACCTCGGCGCCGCTGGCGGACCCTGTGGGAGGAGCTGGACCTGAAAGGCAGACACCGGGGTGGGGACCGCGGGCTCAACAGACCCCTCCCCAACCCTGCCAAGGGATGGGTGACCTCGGGCTGACCGTCGCAGTCCGGGCCTCAATCCGCACAAGTCCTGTGTAAAACACCTGCCAGACCTAGGGTGCCGCCTGCCGCGGCGGCGGGAACCGAGGTCGGGCGCCGAGGCACGGGGGAGCGCGGTCCAGGCGGACGCCTCCGTGCAAGGGAACCCGTCCCACAGTCGGGACGAGGCTCAGGGAGGTGTAGCCTGTGCTGGGGGCTCACGACTCGATAAATGTGCAAAGACCACCCGCCCAGCGCAGCTTTCTGCCGACTGCTCCCTCGACTGGAACGACAATACCCACAAGACACTGCGTCCGGACTGGTGCTGGCCAATGAAGACCCAGGAGGGGGCGTTTCCGGGAGGGCTGCTGGGGCGGGACTTCCGCCTCCGGCCTCCGGGGCGTGCTGAAAGACTTACAGTCGTCAGCCCCCGACGGAGGGACCGGGTGACCGGGCCGCGGACAACGTCCAGGAGGCTCCCGAGTTCGCGGAAACGGCACACGAGTCGGGGGCGCCCCTACCAAGCCCTGGCCGCGCCTTGACCCTCGCGAATGCCTCCTCAAGCTCTGGTGCCCCTAGCCGTAGTGGGTCGCACAGCGCCGATATGTCCTCGAGGACCTCTGCAAAAGCCAGTATGTGCCCGCGGCCGCCCGGGATTCGTAGCTTAATGGCGTTGGGCAGTTAGGAACCGACGGCCCTGGAACCTGAGCAGGAGGAGGAGGTATCGGGGGAAGATCGGCAGTTGGATGTGGGCAGAGGTGTGGATGGTGCAGGGCCTGGGCCTTTCTCGCTGCTCAGTACTTGCCAGCTCTGCCCTAAAACGTGAGTTATAAGGAAGAGAAGAGGAGTAGGGATATCTGTGACCTTCTTGTTCACTGCTACAACCTCAGCACCCAACGCATAGCCTGGCATAAGTCACAGGTGCTCCCTGAAATAAGGAATGTACTATGCAATGAAATTTCAGCATGCGATAGAGACTGTGTCCATGGGACACCTGGACAGGATGCTGGGTCTATAAGGAGGCTGGCCAGAAGGCAACCCCCCCTGGCCCATCTCCTGTTTCTGTGTCTGGCCTCCGAATGATTCCTCAGAATCCAGCAGAGACCCACACCCCTACCATGGCCCACCAATACTCCAGAGCAGAGAGCACAGCCTGAGTGAAGCTGGACAAACTCAAGACCAAGCATACCCTCCCCCACGCCCCCCAGGTGGACACTGAGTTTCAGAGAGGCTAAGAACAAGGCCACAGTAGAGCTAGGATTCACGCCCACCTCTCTCTGGCTCTCAGGTCCACACCCATGGCTCAGTTGGCCCCACTGGCTGAGAAGAACAACCCACTTACAGCTTTGTTTTTAAGAGTGGATTTCTGCATACTGTCTGATTCTACTGATATTAAATGTCCAGAATAGGCAAATCCATAGAAACAAAAAGTAGACTAATGGTTGCCAGAGGCTAAGGGGAAGAAAGAATGGAACATAACTGCTAATGGGTAGGAGGTTTCTTCTTGGGAATGTTCTGGAATTAGTGGTGATGGTTGCACAATAATGTGAACATACTAACAACCCAATGAATCATACCCTCAAATAGTACATTGTATGGTGTGTGAATTATATTTCAATACAACTATTATTAACAATAAAAACCAGTAGATTTCTGGAAGGTTATTTGGAACAGTCACTTATCCGATGTGTTTTCCACCGTCAGTAAAGTGGAAGCATCTACGCCCCAGGGAGGGGCACTCAGATCGCAGTCTGATCCTGGCCCTTCCAGACCAGGAGAAGCCGCAGCTTATGGAGGGACTCCCAGCGCTGCCCTACCAAGTTGGGCCCTTGGGGGAGCCACTCCCCGTCCCAGGCTCCGTCTCCCACTTGGGACAAGAAGATCCCAGCACTTGCCAGGTCTGCAAGGTGGCATTAGGGTTAGCGAGAGCGCGTCGCAGTCACTACACTGCGACCTGATCCAGCAGCACCTGCCTGCCTGGTCTGCACCCCCATCCCCATCTCAAGCCCACCCCTGGGTTCTTTGTATTGTTTATCGCTCGCAACTATATAATCAAATTACCTGTGTTCGCATTTCTCTGTGTTAAAATTTATTCAAACTGTATGATCTGTGTTCAAATATAACGTATTCCACCCCCATCGCCCCCTTCACGCGAGCCCTGCGAGGGAGGGCACGTGTCCGTCCGGCGCACAGAGCCTGGCGCACAGGAGAAGCGCCGTAAATGTGAGGACGAAACGTACCCCTTTTCTTATGTTAAGGCATCTGAAGTTACTGGATCTTTTGTTTGCTGTCCACTTTTCCTTGCTGCTGCCTGGCAACTGGGGTTGCGGGAAGCGCTCCAGAATTGTGGTCGTCATAACAACGCTGGTTTCCGGCCCCTGATTGGCCACCAGCTATAGCACGCCCCCTACGCCAGACTCGCACGCCCCTCTACCGCGCGGCGTGCCAAAGGTGTGCAAGGTCGCCATGGCTTCTGAGTGGCCATCAGTTCTGACGCACCTTCCCTGCTCCGTCCACCGTCTTTGAGAAGTGAAAGAAGAGTGCACAGCTCTAAGAGGGCCCCGTTGCTATAGCAGCGGGTCACGCCTCCGGTTCGGAATGCGGGCTCCGATTGGTCAGCCTTCCTGACAATCTCGCTTTCATCGCCTGGTCTGCAGGGGATGTTAAAGAGGGAAGACTCTGCTTCTGGAAACTGAGGCTCCAGGGCCTGCGGCTACGGGCCGAGGGAAAGGGGAGGGAAAATCTAGGCTGCTCGGCCAGGGCGTGGAGTTGAGGGGAGAAAGTGCCTTGCAGAAAGTTCTCTGTCCCCGGTTCGAATCCGCGCCCTGCCCAGCCCATCAGCCTCAGTTTCCCCATCTGTCAATCTGGACATTGCGGCTTCCACGGTTCAACGAGGGCCTCCCGTGGTCCTTGTTCCCTCGGTCTCAACGCCTGAACCCAAGTGAATGCCCCAATGGCCAAGGACGGGTGTGGTGTGGGCAGGAGAGAGGCTGGCCAGATCCTCGTAGAATGAAGAACCTGGCACCCCTCTCTCCAGGAGAGCTGGAGGAGGATGTGGGAAAAGTTTGGGGGGTTGGAGGGTCCAGGAGCGTGGCAGGGAGGCACTGTGGCTGGGCCCTCTACCCAGCCTTCTGTACATCATCTTCCATGTGAGCCCCCTGGTGTTCCTGAGGTGCCCTCGGTACACAGTGGGTGCTCAGTAATACTGTGGAGGAATGAAATCTCCCTGCAAGTAGAGAGTTTACTGTCGTCCACTTTATAGAAGAGAACCCAAATCTGGCTGGTACAGGCCTCTGCGGCACCGTACCAGACACTGAAGCTGACCCCCTCCCCCGGGGGTTCACAGGCACTGGGGACTGGGAGGAGCAAGCCTGGGGCAGGTGGGCGGTGGGGTGTCCAGCAAGGATGGAAGGGGCAGAGGGAGGGTTGGGAGGGCACAGCTTCTGGTGGCCCCAGAGGCTGGTAGGCAAAGGTGGAGAGGAATCCCCCATGATCCTGGCCCCGGGGTGGTTTCCGGCTGCTCTTTTGTTCAAATCAGCAGACAGGGATGCCCAGCGACCCCTGGGCTCTGTCATCAGCCTCGTTATGAGAGGAGAGTCTCGGGCCTCAGGATCTCTCTGGGAGTGTTGAGAAGACATGCTTCCCCTTAGTCCCTAGGAGGAAGCCAGCTGCACAGGGAGGGAGGGACCAATCCTGCCCACTGCCTACAGCTACCATCTTGCTCCATGCCAGCCATTTTCCCTGAGCATCCTTGAAGATACAGCACTGAGGTCTCTTTCTCCAGGCAGGCTTCCTTGAACACCTCAGGCAGTGAGCATCATCTCTCCCTCTCTGCGCACCAGCCAAGGGCCTCTTTCTGACTACCCTGCCAGGTCCCCACTCCTAGCCTGGAGTGGGGGAGGAAGAGATGAGAAGGGGATATCTGATAAGCTGATAATGGCCCCCAAAGATGTCCAGATCCTAATCCCTGGAATCTGTGAATCTGTTCCTTTACATGGCAAAATGGATTTAGCAAATGTGATTAAGAGTGTGGAGCTGGGGATAGTGTCCTGGATTATCCAGGTGGGTGCAATGTAATCACGGTGTCCTTATAAGTGAAAGAGGCAAAGAGCTATGAAGATTCTACTCTGCTGCCTTTGAAGATGGAGGAAGAAGTCAATGAATGCAGCTCTAGAAGGTGGGGAAGTTAAGGAGATGAATTCTCTCCTAGAGCTTCCAGAAGGAACTAGCCTTCCAGACACTTGGCCTTCAGCCAGGTGAAACTGATTTCAAGACTTCTAGCACGCAGCACTGTAAGATAATTAATGTGTGTTATTCTAAGGAACAGAGCTTTTCTGGTAATTTGTTGCAGCAGCCAGACAAAACTAATACAGACGACCCACCCTGCTCCTGTCTGACTGGGTCCCCTCCCTACAAAGCTGGGCTGTGGCTGCCCAGTGACCCAGCACAGGGACCCAGGACCCTGTGAGTAACATCAGCTCTCGGAGGTGGGACAAGAACTGGTCTAAGAAGACAGTCGCTTGGACACCCTGACGTTCCACCCTCAGCTTCCCCCATGGAAGCTCGTGCCATAAGGCATACGGCTGATATTCCTAGGTCAGGGTGGCTGGGAGCTGGGTGAGCCTAAGGTGCCCACAGGCATTCCCAGGCTGCCTCTTGGTCGCCTGCAATGCTGTCACTCCCTAGGAAACTATTTGGCACCCACTGTTTGCCAGGCACTGAGAACACACATGTAAACAAATCAAACAAGCACCTCCAGACCCATAGAAAGTCTGGAAAATGCTGAAAGGCATCTGAAGTTACTGGATCTTTTGTTTGCTGTCCACTTTTCCTTGCTGCTGCCTGGCAACTGGGGTTGCGGGAAGCGCTCCAGAATTGTGGTCGTCATAACAACGCTGGTTTCCGGCCCCTGATTGGCCACCAGCTATAGCACGCCCCCTACGCCAGACTCGCACGCCCCTCTACCGCGCGGCGTGCCAAAGGTGTGCAAGGTCGCCATGGCTTCTGAGTGGCCATCAGTTCTGACGCACCTTCCCTGCTCCGTCCACCGTCTTTGAGAAGTGAAAGAAGAGTGCACAGCTCTAAGAGGGCCCCGTTGCTATAGCAGCGGGTCACGCCTCCGGTTCGGAATGCGGGCTCCGATTGGTCAGCCTTCCTGACAATCTCGCTTTCATCGCCTGGTCTGCAGGGGATGTTAAAGAGGGAAGACTCTGCTTCTGGAAACTGAGGCTCCAGGGCCTGCGGCTACGGGCCGAGGGAAAGGGGAGGGAAAATCTAGGCTGCTCGGCCAGGGCGTGGAGTTGAGGGGAGAAAGTGCCTTGCAGAAAGTTCTCTGTCCCCGGTTCGAATCCGCGCCCTGCCCAGCCCATCAGCCTCAGTTTCCCCATCTGTCAATCTGGACATTGCGGCTTCCACGGTTCAACGAGGGCCTCCCGTGGTCCTTGTTCCCTCGGTCTCAACGCCTGAACCCAAGTGAATGCCCCAATGGCCAAGGACGGGTGTGGTGTGGGCAGGAGAGAGGCTGGCCAGATCCTCGTAGAATGAAGAACCTGGCACCCCTCTCTCCAGGAGAGCTGGAGGAGGATGTGGGAAAAGTTTGGGGGGTTGGAGGGTCCAGGAGCGTGGCAGGGAGGCACTGTGGCTGGGCCCTCTACCCAGCCTTCTGTACATCATCTTCCATGTGAGCCCCCTGGTGTTCCTGAGGTGCCCTCGGTACACAGTGGGTGCTCAGTAATACTGTGGAGGAATGAAATCTCCCTGCAAGTAGAGAGTTTACTGTCGTCCACTTTATAGAAGAGAACCCAAATCTGGCTGGTACAGGCCTCTGCGGCACCGTACCAGACACTGAAGCTGACCCCCTCCCCCGGGGGTTCACAGGCACTGGGGACTGGGAGGAGCAAGCCTGGGGCAGGTGGGCGGTGGGGTGTCCAGCAAGGATGGAAGGGGCAGAGGGAGGGTTGGGAGGGCACAGCTTCTGGTGGCCCCAGAGGCTGGTAGGCAAAGGTGGAGAGGAATCCCCCATGATCCTGGCCCCGGGGTGGTTTCCGGCTGCTCTTTTGTTCAAATCAGCAGACAGGGATGCCCAGCGACCCCTGGGCTCTGTCATCAGCCTCGTTATGAGAGGAGAGTCTCGGGCCTCAGGATCTCTCTGGGAGTGTTGAGAAGACATGCTTCCCCTTAGTCCCTAGGAGGAAGCCAGCTGCACAGGGAGGGAGGGACCAATCCTGCCCACTGCCTACAGCTACCATCTTGCTCCATGCCAGCCATTTTCCCTGAGCATCCTTGAAGATACAGCACTGAGGTCTCTTTCTCCAGGCAGGCTTCCTTGAACACCTCAGGCAGTGAGCATCATCTCTCCCTCTCTGCGCACCAGCCAAGGGCCTCTTTCTGACTACCCTGCCAGGTCCCCACTCCTAGCCTGGAGTGGGGGAGGAAGAGATGAGAAGGGGATATCTGATAAGCTGATAATGGCCCCCAAAGATGTCCAGATCCTAATCCCTGGAATCTGTGAATCTGTTCCTTTACATGGCAAAATGGATTTAGCAAATGTGATTAAGAGTGTGGAGCTGGGGATAGTGTCCTGGATTATCCAGGTGGGTGCAATGTAATCACGGTGTCCTTATAAGTGAAAGAGGCAAAGAGCTATGAAGATTCTACTCTGCTGCCTTTGAAGATGGAGGAAGAAGTCAATGAATGCAGCTCTAGAAGGTGGGGAAGTTAAGGAGATGAATTCTCTCCTAGAGCTTCCAGAAGGAACTAGCCTTCCAGACACTTGGCCTTCAGCCAGGTGAAACTGATTTCAAGACTTCTAGCACGCAGCACTGTAAGATAATTAATGTGTGTTATTCTAAGGAACAGAGCTTTTCTGGTAATTTGTTGCAGCAGCCAGACAAAACTAATACAGACGACCCACCCTGCTCCTGTCTGACTGGGTCCCCTCCCTACAAAGCTGGGCTGTGGCTGCCCAGTGACCCAGCACAGGGACCCAGGACCCTGTGAGTAACATCAGCTCTCGGAGGTGGGACAAGAACTGGTCTAAGAAGACAGTCGCTTGGACACCCTGACGTTCCACCCTCAGCTTCCCCCATGGAAGCTCGTGCCATAAGGCATACGGCTGATATTCCTAGGTCAGGGTGGCTGGGAGCTGGGTGAGCCTAAGGTGCCCACAGGCATTCCCAGGCTGCCTCTTGGTCGCCTGCAATGCTGTCACTCCCTAGGAAACTATTTGGCACCCACTGTTTGCCAGGCACTGAGAACACACATGTAAACAAATCAAACAAGCACCTCCAGACCCATAGAAAGTCTGGAAAATGCTGAATTCCCATCCACAAGACACAGCACCCCAACCCTGGGCAAAGTGAGGCCGGATGGGAGCTCCAGGGCCTGGGGAACGACAGAAAGCCTGTGTTCAGTTTGTGCGGAAGGCAGCAGCCATCCACCCTGTTGTGACTAACCAGGAAGGCTTCAGAGAGGGGGGAAGGACAGGAACCCAAGAGCTGCCCTCCCTGGAGGCTGCTGTCCACAGGAAAGGGCTGAGGCTTCACTGGGGGCCCAACAGGTGTACCACCACAGGCTGATGGAGAAGGGGCAGTAACTGGCCCTGAGAAACTAGTAAGTGGACATGGGGGGATGAGGGCTCCAGTCACTGGGGAGAGGGGCCAAGATCCCTTGGGCAAGCTAGGGACACCCAGGAGTGACACCCACAGTCATATGACACTGTCTAACCCAGAAGACAGCCCTGGTGGTGAGCATAGCTGCCCCACAGCATATTAGGAGGACCCCAGAAACCACAGCCCGTAGGGGAGGTTGGTACTCAGATGGGAACCAGTCTCTGAGTCTCAGGCTTGGTCTGTTGATCCCCTGCCCTGGCCAAAGCACACTGTTTCTTCAGGCCCGAGCCCTAGCCGGGTATGCAGGGTGGTAACCCAGGACCAGCACGGAGATGGCAGGATCCCACCCAGGGCCAGCCTGCAGGCAGCAGAGTGGAAAACAAACTCCACGGCCTGGGGGCGGCGTCAGCCCTGCGAGGGGTCCATCAGGTGGGCGTCGCCTGGGGATAACAGCAGCAGCAGATTTGCTCCTCAAAGAAGGGGAACACCAGCACTTGTGATGAGCCCAGATGAGTAAATCAGAGCCTTCAGCCCCTGGTGCCAGCCAAGGGGCGCTCCCCCCGTGACTGAGGTGCATTTGGTAGGATCCTTGTGAGGACCGGGGTGGGGGTGCCCCAAGCAGGATCTGTACAGATTGGTCAGATGCGCTCCCCTGCTGGACTCCCACAAGAGGTGAGAGTCAAGGGTACCCCCAATCGGACCTCAAAAGTCAGGAAGGCCTCCCAGCAGTAGCTTCACAAAGATGGGGACCAGGTACCTTCAGCCGGATGCCCACAAGGATGGGGGTGAAGGGTGCTCCTTAAGAGGGTCTCTGCACGGATGGTGATGCCGGAAATGACCCGCTGGAGAAATGGGTGCTTGTCATCCATGGTGCCCTGCCCAGGCCTCCACTGGGTCGTAGCGAGTGGTCCTGGCAGGGCCCACCCGGATGACACGAGGTCCCCGGGCCTGGAGATGGGGCCTGCCGCCCGGGGACGTTCAGCGCGACCCCCGCGCCCTCCTCCTGTGTCGCGCCCGCGCGGCCCGACTGGGGCCAGCCTCTGCCGTCGCCGTGCGGTCCGAGGGCCTGTCCGCCGACCCTGGGTCCTCGAGGTCCTCTTCCAGCGCCCGCGCGCCCTCCGCGGCCCCCGGCGGGGCGGCGTCCAGGTCAGGGCCCGCGGGGCGCGGCGGCGGCCAGGAGACGCCGGGCGCCGGCGCGAGCGCCACCAGCTGGGGCCGCGCGGGGCCGGGGGCGGCGGCGCGCGGCACGAGGAAGAAGATGTACACGCCCGAGACCACGAGCCCCGCGGCCACCAGCGCGGCCAGCGCCACGGCCGCGTTGAAGGCCCAGGCCGGACTGCTCAGCGCCCGGCGGCGGGACAGCGGGCGGCCGAGGCGCAGCGGTGGCGGCGGCGGCGGCGGGCGCGCGGCGCGGGCCTTGCGCGGCCCGGGCGGCGGCGGCGGCGGCGGGCGCAGGTAGAGCAGCCCGCGGCGGCGGTCGAAGCGCACGGAGCCCTGGCGCGGCGGCGGCGCGCGGGCGGCGCGGGGCAGCAGGCCGGGCTGCGTGGGCAGCGCGGGGAGCCCGCGACGCGGGGCCAGGCGCGTGGGCGCGCGGCACACCGGGCAGGCCACCGCGTCGCCGCCGCCCGCCGTGGCCAGGGACAGGCGGGCCAGGCACTCGAGGCAGAAGACGTGGCCGCAGTCCAGGCGCTTGGGCAGCTTGAACACGCCGTCGAAGGGCGACACGCAGATGAGGCACTCCCCGGGGGACGCGGGGGCCAGGATGGGGCCCGAGCCCGGGCTGGCGTCCCCGTCCCCGTCCCCGTCCTCGTCCTGCCCCCTGCACGGGGAGCGGGATGCGCAGGGCGAGCTCGGGGAGTTGGCGCCGGGGCCCCGAGGGGCCCGCGGGCGGCGGAGCCAGGGCGGCCTCGGGCAGGGCATTGGACCTGCGGGGAAAGACGGGCAGGCAGGCAAAGGGCTGGGCTGGCCTCGGGGTCCACGCAGCACAAAGCAGGGGCACCCGGAAAGGAGGGGGAACCCAGAAGGAACAGAGTCGGGGCGGGGAGGGTGGTAGAGGGCTTGGTGGAGGGGAGAGGGGTAAATGGGAGGCCAGAGAGGGGCTTTGAGGAGTTTGAGGGCAGGGAGTTACCCTGGGGTGGACCAGAGAGGCCCAGCAACACGGCAGATCCTGAGGCTGGAGATTTGGGGAAGGCCCCGGAGACGGGAGCTGAGGGGACCTGACTTCAGGAGAGACTAGGAATGGGGATCCAAGGAGGAGCCGACATGGACTGGAGCAGAGGTAGGGACCCCCAGAACTGGGCAGACCCTTTGGGTGTCACAGGGGACTCCAAGGAGTGGCTGAGAACACCAAAGCATCATGATAGGTGGCCTGCAGCACAGGGGAGGACGGAAGCCCAGAACAGGGGCCAGGGACAGACTCCCCACCCCCATCCCAAGCTGGCCTTCCTACCTGCTGGCACGTCCCTGTCCCTTCTGACCCCAGTACTGGACCTGCCAGCAGCTGGATACTAAGTGCCCCTCCCTATGGGAGGGTGCCCACAGTGGGACCACTCCCTCCAGATCCCAGGTTCCCGAAGAACCAGTCTGGCCACCAGCCCCACCTCCCCAGCTGGTCTCTCTGGGGTAGTGAACCCCGGGCCTGACCACCTGCTGGATGTCAGGGTAGTGGGAAGCTTAACACAGGCTCACAGGGCAGCGGCAGTCCAGGCCCAGTGGGCCATACCCCTTTGGTTTCAACACCTCCTCCCGCAGCCTCCACCTCAGAGCCCCCCGTGGAGTGAGAGGAACCTGGGGAGAGCCTGTGGGCACTGGCTTGGCAGGGTGCAGAGCCAAGCCAACAGCAACCGCACAAATGGCTGGGCCACTGGAGCTCCTGGCCAGGTGGTCCTGGGGGTGCAAAGCAGGCAGACCCCATGGTGGACTTTCAAGATTGTGGTGCAGAGACCTCAGGCCTGGGCTGCTTCTCTCTAGGACCACTTCCAGGTCACATGCATCTCAGGATCAGGAGCTGCCACCTGGACCTCAAGGGCCCTCACCAGGCCCCTCCCCAAACCACCCCAGCCCTCTCACTTCCAACACCTGCTGGAACACTCCAAGTGGGTAGGTCTGCAACCCAGGGTGCCGCGGTTGTCTGGTGCTTCCTGAGCCAAGTATCCCTGGTGAATCCAGGTACCACAGGCCTAAGAGTGAGCGAGGAATGTGGGCAGCTCCTCAGGACACTGGGGCCATCCCACTCCTCTACCCCAGCCACCAGAGCACCCCCACCCCCAGCCCAGACACTGACACAGTGGGTGGACCTGCCCCAAAGGGCAAACAGGTTTATTGAGGCCACGGCTGGACAATCAACGGTTGGACTTGGCCACACGTTCTAGCTCATCCTTCTTCTTGATAGCGTAGGAGTTGGAGGAGCCCTGCAAGAAGGTAGGTGGTCAGCTCTGAACACTGGTGGAGCCTCCCCTCACCCACCAGGTCCTCACCCACCTTGGCTGCATTGATGAGCTCATCTGCCAGGCACTCAGCAATGGTCTTGATGTTCCGGAAGGCAGCCTCCCGGGCACCTGTGCACAGCAGCCAGATGGCCTAGGGAGCACAGGGGTCAGCAAAGCCTGGGGGCAGGGGGTGCCCATGAACCAGGCAGGCTACAGGCCTCCAGTGCCCTGGGCCCCCAGCACATGCCACCACACCACACTGCCATCCATTGGCTCACTGATCAAGATGCAGCAGGGCCCACAGTGCTGCCTGGTAGGCGTACTGCCACACCTAGGATCAGGCAGAAGGTGGCCACAAAAACAAGTGTGTAGACTCAACGGTTCAAGCAGGGTCCCTGATGACACGAGATTGGAGGCCCGCCACAATGGGGCAAGGCAATGCAATGTGTGCCCTTGGCTGGACCCTTGATTGAAAAGCAACAGCTATAAGAGACATGTTGGGGACAGCTGCAAGACTGTAACAGTGACTGAATGGTCTATTCAAATGCTGTTGAATTCCTCGGGGCGATTGGTAGGGATAGATTGCCCTTGTTCTTAGGATACATCCAGTTAAGTGTTAAGGACAAAATGGTTAGAATGCCTGCAATTGATTGCCAAATGCTCCAAGAAACACGCACACACCTGGTGTAAAAACTAACACCCAAATGGAACTGCGCCTCAGCCAAATGCAGCCAAGGAAGAGGGCCCAGAACTAGTATCTACCCCGCAAGATGGGAATCCAGGAAAGCTTCCTGAAGGAAATGACACTCCAGGTAAAACATGCAGACAGGGATGAACCTTCCCACTTGGCAGCCTCTGTGAGGGTCTGGTGGCTGTTCCCGCGCAGCCACATGTCGCATGTCCCGTTAAGACTCAGGCCCACCTGATTCACACGGCGCAAAGGGGATACATCCACAGCCTGCCGCCTCACTGTGCCAGCTCGACCGATGCGGGTTGAGTCTTCCCGGGGGCCGCTGTTGATGATGGCATTCACTAAGACCTGCAGGGGGTTCTAGGAGAGAGAGGCCATGAGATTTGCATCCAGCCCCACATCCCTCCCCATTTCCTCCCCACTAACACCCGGACGCCCAAGCAGGCACACTCTGGGGCAGCCGCTGGCTTAGTGCACTAAGGGCACGCTCTGCGCGCCTAGCCTCAGGGCCCTACCTCCCCGGTGAGCAGATGGATGATCTCGAAGGCATGCTTGACGATGCGCACAGTCATCAGCTTCTTCCCGTTGTTCCGGCCGTGCATCATCATGGAGTTGGTGAGGCGCTCCACAATGGGGCACTGCGCCTTGCGGAAGCGCTTGGCCGCATAGCGCCCGGCACTGTGGGGCAGGTACTTGGCATACTTCTCCTTCACTGCGATGTAATCCTGGGGCAGTAGGGAAAGGGGTGAAGGACCATGTCAGGAGCAGGCTGGGCCCTGGCCAGGGACTAGAGACCAGCCCCCACTCAGGGCAGCCCCCTCCTACTTGAAGGGGCTTGTGAACCCCTGCCTGTCATGAGGAAGCCAAACCTGAACGAGTAACTTTACCAAGTCAATGAAAAGAGCACCTCCTTTATAATGGGAAGGAGGGGGCTGAGAACTAAAATCACAGGCCTTAACCCGAGTTCTAAGTGTCCTTCAAATTCTGCACTATGCACACTTTAGACCAGGTGATTGTGGTTGGGGGCTGTCCCACACACTGTAGGATGTTCAGCAGCTGCAGCACTTCTCTCAGCTGTGAGATTCCAAAAACATATCCAGATATTACCAAGTATCCCCTAGAGGTGGGGATAATTACCCACAGGGAACCAGTTTTAAAAGAATCATTCAACACTGCTTATCCATACACACGCACACTTCCCAAGCTGTCTAGAAAATACAATCTTGTTAGTAGTAGTTGGGCGCAGAAAACTAGGTGTACGTGAAGAATACGGCTGACGGTTCCACAATGAGACATACCCAAGGCCATTTTAACACTTGCATGTGAGAACACACAAACATGTTCTACAAATACGAGGAGTAACTATGAACACAGGATTCTGATACTGCATGAGTCTGGTGTCTTCCCTCGAGACAACCACCTGCACAGACAGGTAATTAGGTGGGTGTTCACACAGAGCTTCACACTGCAGCAAAGACCTGCAAGCACCATTTGCCCCAGTGAGGGTTTGGTGAAACTATCAAACTCCATGGTAGAGTCCTGCACAGCTTTCAAGACAGACTAAGAACAACTCTGGCACCATGTTTACTTCTGCTTCCCAAGCCCCTAAAGGAACACCAGGAAAAAGGAAAAAGGGAAAAATAGTTTCTACATTTTTAAAAGGTTGCACAAAGAAAAGCAAGGAAGCAAACACAGACGTGACTGAGACCACATGTAACTCACAAAGACTAGTAAGACATTTACTACCCCTTCCTGTAAGTTCAGGTACCCCCTCCCCCAACAACAAACCCATGAAGGAAAACAGGTCTAAAAGACACTGAATAAAAACAGGGTGGAATTATCCATTAGGCACAGCGCCTAAGATCCTGTGATATATTTAAAGGTAACAAAAACTGTTTTCACTCCTTTTAAAAGAGTAAGGGGAAAAATTAATATAATCCAACCTTAATATATCTTTGTACCAACACAGTTATAAATGGCACTTTATTTTTTAAGAAGGTCCCACTTAAATCCTAATAAGACAAAGTGTAAAACAATATAGGGGTAAGATAAAATGGGAAGACTCCCATTTCTCCATTGCAAAACCCATCACAAAGCTTCAAATAATAAAGACAGTATAGTATTGGCAGAAGGACATACACAAAGACCAGCGGAACAGAATTCAGGGTCTGGAAATAAGCACATCTATGCTCCATTGATTTTCTACAACGGTGCCAAGACCACTCTATGACGGAAACAGTCTCTTCGACAAACGGTGCTAGGATACACGCATACAGTGTATATAAGATATAACTTACATTTTATGGTCCAAATATAAGTAAAAACGCACAAAACTAAAATAAGAAAACCCCAAAACACATCAAAACACAAACGGTGCTGGAATAACTGGATTTTCACATGCAAAAGAAAGACTGCGGACCTTACACTTTAAAATGGTTACAATAGTTAACTTTAAAGTTATGTGTATTTTCTTACCAAAAAACGAAAAGACAAAAAAAAAAAGCCAATCGGTGGGATGTGATGCCCCCTCTGGGAAAAGTACCACCTTGTAACAAAAGCTGTAGCAACCTCTGGACATAGGGAAAAATGGACCTGGTGGATGCGGTGCTCCGGAGACCCCTCCTTTGCCTGCTACACCTTCAACTCTTGACTCAGTGAGACAGCTACAGGTTTCGAGTGACCCCTGAAAGAATCCACGTGTGCCTCCCACAGCCACCATGTCCCTCTCACCTGCAAGGAAATGTCATTGATCTGCACATCATCAGTGCTCCACTTCCCAAAAAGCTTGATGTCAGGGGTCTCTGCGACCGCAGGCGCAGCTGTCTCCCACTCGGTCATCCTAGGGACATAAATTATCAGAGCCCAGGCATACCCACCACCGTTGGGACCGGAGCACACCTTGGGAACTGGGAAACTGAGGGAAAAAGGAAGGCTATGAACATCTTAGCCCACCTTTTTGAGCAAGAAACCCACTTTGTCAGCAAGAAGCATGTCTCTTATGCAGTACCCCTGGGGCCAGGAGCTAGCTGGCACCCGATCAACAGCTGCAGCACGGACCACAAGTGGGCAAACGGTGCCAAATGCTTTTACACTGTGTCCGTTGGAGTTCAAACCCCAGCCTGTCATTAACGCGCTCTGCCACCGAATCTCCAAACTGCTTCTTGACTCGGCTTCCTCATCAGTACAATGGAAACATCTGCCACCAAGAATTATACAACTTCTGAGCCTATCGACTCAGGGGCGGCGGTTCCAGTGCGACACCCAGGAGGCACCAGGGACTATTAAGGAGGGCTGCACAGGCCAGCGAGTGCATCATGCATCTAATAACGGAAACCTCCTATACCTGTAGAAGCAAATATTCCCGAGCCCCGCTAGGCAGCGAAACTACGCAGGCGGCAGAGCGCCAGCTACAAGGCAACCGTAACCTTCCCTGCGCCGCATTTCCTCAGCACGTTTTCCGCAAAAGGCCCCACAAGGGACGCCCCAGGACTCCAGGCCCGCCCATGGCCCTCCAGAAGAGTCTGGATTGTCCGGCGGACCCCCTACCCAACGGCGGCCTCACCTGAGGAAGCAGCGAGCACTTCGCTGCCACTCACAGAGTACCACGCGCCGCTCTGGCAGACAGGAAGAGGCCGCGGGCAGCCGGCCGACGCTTTTAACTGGAGCGAAAACTTCCGGGTCAGCGGAGGCGGTGCGGAAAACAGCTGTATACTCAAGGAACCAATCCTGAGCAAGAATGAAAAAGGCGCCCTCTGAGCCGAACGAAAGACTTAAGTACCTGACGCATGCGTCCTTCCTCGGGCGGCCCCACAAGCTCGCCTGGCGGATGTCCGTCGTCCAGTACTTGCCCCTTTGGGGCCTCTGCACAAGCGCGGCGATCTCCGAGAAGCCAAGGCTGCCATGTGTAATGAGGGCAGAAGACAGGCTCGCGCTCGCCGCCTTGTTCCGCCGTGGACTTCACGCCCCACCTACAGCGGGTTTCGAGCGGGCGTAGGGGTTCGGCACCCACTCGCCCCTCGTCCCAGTCACGGGCGCTTCACAGGCACGCGCGCGCTGCAGGCCCGGGCCCGCGGAGTAGGACCGGCTAGTCGGGACTGCCCTCAGCTAGTCCTGGTGCATGCGCGGAAACTGCTCGCAGGTTCCCTTCCCCATACGGGCTCGCTCGGGGCTGCTTAAGCCTGAGCCTCGAAGAGGGGACCGTCTCCGGCTCGACCTTTCTCGTCGTCCCATGCCAGAGTTCCCCGCATTGTCTCTCCGCGACCCCCGCGTCTCCTTCCTCGTCACTGCGTGCGGGCAGCCGGGCGGGGATCGGGGAGGAGCCCTGACGAGGCGCGTGGGACTGTTCCCTGCGGGTGGCCTTGGGGCAAACCCCAGCCTCTTTGGTCCACCTAGGACCTGTGCTGATGCTGAGGCCACTGGATGGGTGCGGGGGTCGGCACGGTGCTGGTGCTTTTCCCACTCTGCAGCCCCATCCGGTGACCCCTTGCAGCCCGTGTCGAGAACATGTGCCAGCTCTTTATGCGCCCGCCGGTTTAGACCTCCTAAATCGAGACCCTGGAGCTGGACGGGGGCTGCTCCCTGGTGGGCTTCCCAGAGGTCGCGACCACTATGGTCGCACCCATGGTGGCATCTGCTAGAGTGTTTCTAGGGCCACATGAGGCTCCCCACCTCCTGGTGCCCACCTTAGCCTCCAAGGGGGTGTTCCTCCTACCCAGACTCCAAGAGTCCAGGCACTTGACCCAGGCAGTCCATCTGTTCCCATCGACCCACCTTGGCCACCGTCTGGACAGGCGCATAGCAGGCGTTCAACAGCTGCGCTGTTTGTTTAGCTCGCCCCTAGCCTTACCCCAATTCCAGGAGCATTTCAGACCAGGGACGCTGGGCCCCCTTGACTGTCATCAGTCATGGTTCATGCCACTTCTCAAAAGGACACAGGCTCTAAGTTGGCGTAGGCAGGGGTTAGACCCCACTCTTTTTTTTTTTTTTTTTTTTTTTTTAAGGGTTTACTGATATACACTCTTACTGTTTCACATGAAAAAACAATGTGTAGGCCCCAGACCCTTGTGGGGGCACAGGAGATGTACCCGGAGGCCAAGGCCCACAGTACCTGTAACCTGTGGCCCTTACCCGTGTCCTCCACCCAGCTACGTGCCAAGCAGCAGCCTCTGGCCTCCCACTGGGGTCTGTAGGGGTGGGGAGTAGCTATGTGGGGAGCCTTCCTGGTCCCTCACACACTTCCTGCTCCCATTCTGGGCTTCAGGCAGACACCGAGCGGCTGGGTCTTCCTCTAGACACCAGGTCTAGACCCAGAACATGTAGTCATGCTGTGCCCTGTATGGAAGACCTCCTTACCTTAGTCTGCCCCTCTTCGGAGCTGCATCTTAACTGAGCCAGGCAGACAGGAGTCTAGGACTCAGATCATTTACTCTTTAGAACAACCTTATTAGGTAGGCACTCCCATTTTATAGATGGTTATGGAAGCCCAGAGAGGTAAAGTAATTTGCCCAGTGTCACACAGCAAAAGGGGGCAGAACTGGGATTCTAAGGTAGTTGACCCCAGAATCTTACCTTTCCTGCCTCAGTTGGCCTCTCTTCTTTCTCTGCATCGTATCTCCCCAAGGTCTGGGGATCCTTGCACATGCAATGTGCCCAAGAAATATTTGCTCAATGAACAAAAGTCTAGTCAACTCTGCTGTTTCACTGGATCCGGCATGGTCCAGAGAGGGGCTCTCCCTGCCCTTTAGGCCCCTCCCTCTTCAAAGATAAGGCTGCTGAGCCACAAACCACGTAATTATCAAGTAGGGGGAGGGTTGCTAGTCTCCGTGATTCCAGGCCTGCTCAAATAAAAGAGTAAGTGAAGGGACCAGCAAGCGTATTTATCACTCCCCACCTCCTGCAGGGCTGTCTGACTGTGTCTTCCTCTCATGACTCTTTGGCAGACAAGTTTATCTCTTCCACTGCCCTGGCCTCCCCCTGCTCTTGTTACTGATCAGCATGTCGAAAGCTGGGCTTACTGGGGCAGGTGGTTTGGCTGGGATGCTTATTACAGGAGTGGGAATTCTGGACCTCAAGGTAGCAGCAGATGCTGGGCCAGTCGACCTGCTGGGTGGGATAGCCTGTGTCCTTACCCCATTTTCAGTTTTCTCAGTTATAAATCAAGACCACATGTTCAGGTTGGTTACGCAGAATTGAGGGTGGGAGAGTGGGGCAGCAGGGCAAAATGTGCAGGACTGGGTTGGCAATGCTGGATCCGATCCGGACCCATCCCCTCACTTGGGGTACTTGGGATAAAGAGTAGAGGAAAGAAGAAACTGGGCTGGATATGGGAACCTGGGAACAGGGTCTTAACAGAGGGTCTCAGGAGCTTGGATTAAGGCTACTCCCGGGAACATGTTTTGGAAATCCAAGTATCTGGAATTAGTGGGTGCAGGATCTCAAATTTTGGAGACCAGACATATGAATTCGTAGTGTCTGCGATCTGGGATGGGAGTCACAAATTGGGGGGGAAACGGGTGCCTGGATATGGTGGTGGGGGGAAATCTAAGGCCTTCACTGAAGAAACAAGAGACCTGGATCTGGAGGCGATCCAGAAGCAGGCATTGGAGAGGACTAGGGCCTAATAATACTGGGGGAGCCCGGGGGCATGAAGTAGGGGACAGCCAGGTATCCGGGTTTGCCGGAACTAGATGGGAAGCCGGCACTTAGGGGCGCGGGCTTTCCCCAGTCCTGCGCGTGGGCCCTGCCGACCGCTAGTACCCGAGCCGAAAGCCCCGCCTGCCCCTGAAGTGACCAATCAGCAGCGTCCGGGTGATGGGAGGGCGGAATGACGGGAGGCGTCTCCACGGCAATGGCGAATTGCGTGAACGCTCCAGCTTCATCCGAAGCCGAAGTCTCCGCACTCATCCTCGAAGGGCAGGTTTGGCGGTCGCCATGGTGACCGGGAAGCCCAGCCACGCCCCCGTGAGACCGTGGGTTCCTCTTCCGCGTTGTTCCCCGCGGCACAAAGACCGGGCGGAGAGTGCGGGCCGGGCTGCGGGGGGGATTCCATTTCCTTCAACCCCCGGGCTGCCTCTACAGCCTTTCTGACGGGTTTGTACAGGCCCGAAGGAAAGCGGGGGCAGGGCGCTGTGTCCGGATTCCTCTGGGGATCACTTACGGGGGAGAGGGGCCCTGGACGCCGCGTCGGCCCGCAGCACCACCGAGAGGGCCGTCCCGGGCGGCCGGAGCAGCCCAGTCAGGGCGCCGCCGAGGGACTAGCGGCCGGACTCCCTGCACCTGGGTTCATAGTCACGAACTGTTGGGATGGCCAGTGCCCGTGGACAGGTGGGACGCACGCCGCTTGCTCCTCAGGAAACTCGCGTTGTTCCCCGCGTCCGTTCTTGCGAAGCCGCGGTCAGTATCTCGGGGCCAACAGGCAGAGGCACAGTGACGGGGGCGTGGGATGCGCTGAACTCCTTTGGGGCTCTTGGACCCGATTCCGATGCGTACGCGTGTGGAAGGGGAGAGGGGTCTTCCGACACACACACACACACACACAAGGCCAGGCGATTCTCAAACACCAGCAGAGTCCGGGAACCCAGCTCCGTTCTGATGGTATCCGCATGGAGACAGCAGGAGATTCCCCAGGGTAAGGGCTCCGTCCTGCAAGACTGCCCTCCACCCCCCAAATCCAGACGCCCGTCACAAACCCCAAGCAGTTAGCCTGGGCTTCTGACCTACTGGCTACAGATTGGAGGGTCCCACAACCGCCCCCTTAGGTTAGATCAGTTTGCTCGAGTGGCTCACAGAACTCAGGAAAACACCTTTACCAGTTTAATAAAGGATACAAGTTAACAGTCAGGTGAAGAGAGACACAGGGCAAGGTCCCAAATAAAGGATCTTCTATCCTGGTGGAGCTTGGGGCCTGGCACTGAGGCACGTGGAAGCGTTCTGGGTCCCCAAGCGTACATCTAACAGAGAAGCAGGAGCCAGTAGAGCAGACTGTGACAGGCTCTTCTCAGGGGCGTTTGTGAGGGCTTCATTACAGAGCAATGATTGCCTGCATCACTGGCCTTCGGCAACCCAACTGCCACCCCCGCCCCTGGGTGGGGTCCAAAAGTCTCTCGTTAAGGTGATAACACACCCATTTCACCTTTAAGAGTGCAGTGTTTTCAGGAACTGGATGAAGACCAAATATACCTGGGAAATATATATGTGGCCATATGAGTGACCACATATGTATTTCTTGTAACTCATTACGTCACAGATACTTAGGCGCAGCATCGAAAGAACCATGTCCAGTTGCTCCAGTGTCCTTAGCTAAAAACGCGGAGACTCGGCTACATGCTTCCTGACTCCTTTTAGTTCCTGGTCGTTATAGGCCACTGGGTGACCCCAGGCAAACACTTGTCATAAATTTACAAGAATGACAGAAAAGCAACAGTGGGTCCAGAAGAGTTAGAGCAAGCAACTTCACTAAATAAACTGAGGTTTCTGGAAGATTTGATAAAGGAATGTCTGCCTTCCACAGAAAAGGGAACTAGAGCAAAAGGAACACATGAGCACTGCGCTCAGCAAGGTGGTACTTTGCTGTGGTGCAGCTGCCCTGGACAGATCCATCTCTGTTTTGGAAGTAAAAGAAAATTCTTGTTCTTACCCGTGCTGTCTTCAGTAGGGCAGTTCTGTGATTATCAGGGCCTGACATTGACTGGTAACTTGTTCAACGCGCCCGTCCTTCTCGCCTTCCTCTCCACTTTCCTACCCACCAGACAGGCCTCTCTCCAGCCTCTCCATGTGTGTGGGCCTCATGTCAGTCACCATCCTGCTCTGCATGTCGCAGCCAGCGGCCCTCCCAACAAGCCTCTCCCCACATGGGACTGTTCTGAGCAGCATGTGTGTCCTTCAAGATTCCAGGCTAAACATTTATAGTTTTGTCTCACCTAAATGTCATCTTGACTTACAGGTACTGTGTTTTCCCACATGTAGAGGTTGGAAAAAGCCACAAGGTTGACAGTCTAATGTCTCTCCTTCCCCCCAAGATGTGCACATCCTGATCCCACAGCCTGTGACTGTGTCACTTCACATGGCAAGAGAGACTATGAGGTACGATCAAGGATCTGATATGGGAGATTATCCTGGACTATTCATGGCGGTTCCAATGTAATCACAATGTCTTTGTAGCAGAGGCGGCAGGAGGTCAGAGTCCAAGAGGGAGATGTGGTACCAGACTTAGAGAGTGAAAGGTTTGATATTTCACTGCTGGCTTTTAAGACAGAAGACAGAAGACTTGTCTTATGGCAAGGGAAGTTTGGAAAAGGCAAGCAAACAGATCCTGCCTTCGCTCCTCCAGAAGGCAATGTGCCAAAACCTTGATTTTGGACTTGACTTCCAGAATTGTGAGATAATAAATATGCGTTGCTGTGAGCCACTAAATTTGTGGTGATCTGTTAGAAGAGCAGTAAGAAACTAACAGCCACAGTGGATCTGGAAATAGTAATAGCAGGCATCAGGCCTTGCTGGAACGACCAGGGCCCCCGCATCTGGGGGGTACTCAGCCCTACTGCCAGCTGAGCCCTGTCTCACGGCTTCCAGAAGAGCTGGCTGGTGGCAGGTGAATGGGAGCAGGCCAGGCTGGGCAGGGAGTCAGGAGAGCGTGCTGCTGGTGGTCAGGAGTGGAGGGGGGATTCCGGGGAGAGGGCAGCCTGTTGCCCAGGGGGAGGGGGCCGCTGAGGTCTCAAGCCAGGGGTGATGGTGCTCCATAAGCTAGTGAAGAGGGATGCTACTGGGGAGCAGAGGGAGATGGGGAGGATGTTCTTGGGCCTCGGTGGTGGCACGGGGCGTGGCAGAGGCTGCAGGGTCTCATTGCCTGTACCATCCTTCTCCCATTTCCCTGGGCTGCCGAGAGCTGGGGGCCGCTCTGCGGGCAACGTCCTGGGGCTGTCATGCTTTGGCTCAGCTCTCCACTACTCCCCTCCTGGGAACTGCCAACCTCCATTTCTCCTCTCTTCTTTCAGACCCTACAGCCAGGACGCCGTGTTGGGGGCTGGCCCCAGGATGGAGGCTCGGGCTCAGAGCTCCAGGCAGGAGGCATCCCCAAGCCAGAGCCCAGGAGGCCGACAGGGGACAGGAGAGCCCCCAGATGGAGCCGAGGCCTGTGGCAGAGGCTCCAGCAAAGAGACGCCTGTCTCAGAAGGGAGATCTGCACGGAGGGACCGCAGGTGGCCAGACGACTCCCCACGGCAGAGGCTCCTGGGGCCAGGGACGCGGCGTGAGCCCAGCCCAGGCACCCGTCAAAGCGCAGGGGCAGGACTCCTGGTGCAAGAGCCAAACGGCCCCACCTCCTCTCGGGACCCTGACCTGGTCCCTCCCCAGGGGCTGCAGGCTGAGGAGGGCTCCTGCAGCGGGGAACCGGGCGCGGCGCTGGCTCGCGGCTCGCCCCTCCGTGCGCCTCCTCGGCGGTCCCCCCGTAGCATCCCTTCCTCCGGCTCCTTCGTGCCTCCACCCATCCCTGGTCTTGGCCCTCGGCCTGGGCGGTGCCACCACTGCTTCCCCCACCGAGTCATTTGTGCTCAGGCCGCCACCCCCCGCGGGGTCCCCCTCCGCCCAAGCATGCAATCCCACCCTCGCCTGCTTGCTGCGGCCCAAGCCCAGCTCCCCCTGGGACCAAAGCCCTCGTGGGGCATCCTCTGCGCAGCGTGCCCCCCCTTCATCCACTCTGTATTTTTTCGCCCCGTGCCACGTAGGTGAGAGCCCAGGCTTTGGGGGCTGGAGGGAGACACAAATAGTCACCTGGGCCTCGTCGGCTGAGAGCCCATTGTTGGGGGTGTGGGAGACGGCCCGCCGGGAAGGTGACCTCTGACGTCTGACCTGACCATCACACGTGAGTAGGCATTCCGGGTGGGAAATCGGAGGACCAGAGAGAAGGCCCAGGGGGTGGGTGCGAGGACGGTGCGCAGGAGGAGGGGGAAGGCCGGCGGGAAGGGCCTGCAGGGGCGTGGGTGCCGTCCCGGGACGCCGGACTCCCAGGCCAGGGACCCCACCGGCGCGACAGGGGGCCGGGCGGCCCCGAAGCACAGTGCCGGCTGGAGGGTCGGTCCTGCCGGGGTTCATCTTCAGCGGGTGCAGCCCCTGGGGTCAGATCTTCTGGTCCTGCAAGGCACAAATGGAAATTGTCATTGAATTCTGGTGACTCCTTTACACTTTTATTTTGAGATAATTGTAAATTCACCTGCTATAAGAAGTAATACAGGGGCGCCGCCGGCCTCGCAGGGAGGGGCACCCGGGGGTTGCAGGCCGCACACGCGCCGGAGCCAGGAGCCCCGGCCGCCGCCGAGTCCCACCAGACCGGCACCCGAGCAAGTGAAGAGGTTAAAGATTTCTGCCACATCAAGAAATGGAAAATACAGACGTCCGAAGGTATCTATTGAAAATGAGAAACTTGTGATTGGACCATGCAGTCGAGACAGCGACCGTGGGGTTACACAGTAGGGTGAGGGCCTCCAGAAAAAAAAGGGAAGCAGGTTAATCACAGTCTGAACAATGTAACAATGTGCAAAGAAATCCCTACCAGAACTCCGTGTTAAACATTAAGTCAGGGTCACATTAATTCTCTAAACAAAAATATCAAACTAGGAATATAAGCATTCTTCAGTGAGATTAGTTAAACCTAAAAAGCCAGGGTAACTTGGCCTGGAATGTTTGAACATCCCCCAGATAAGAAAATACCTCAGCATAGCCCATGCCTTCATTGTGTCAATTAAATGAGGCTATTGTAAGATTTACTTAAGCGGCTAAAAGGGCCAGCCTATTTTTTAAATTTTATCCAGATGCTGCTTTTCCTCTTCCAGCCCTAATCAAATAATCTGCAAGCTGGGCAGTCGATTTGGCAAGCAAGCCCAGTTATAAGCAACATAGTAAAAACAGGAAGGATTCCATCTTAATGATAAGATTGCATTTTAAAACCCAAGAAGTTAATAAGGAAGTTTCTTAACATACTCTGTAACAAACAGACAACTCAGTCCACCGTGGGCGCAGGGCAGGCAGTCTTGATTGATGCTCTCCCAGACCAAGCGGCTCTACTGGGAGTGAATCAGAGCAGTAAATTCCTGGTGTTAAGCTAAATTGGCAGAACAACCCAGAGGACTGACAAGAAACTTAATGTCTCTTCAAAGATAAACATTTTGGGACCATTTAGCAGGTCTGCATCCCTAGCCCTTTGTCACTCAACTGCTCATAAATCCCCTAAACAATGCACCACCTTGGGCTTTCTTGTCCCAGAAGCTCTGTCCTCTCACTTTATCTCTAAATAAAAGCCTCTCCCTGGCTCTCCTTCCTTGAGTGTTTGCTAAATTCATTCTGTGACTCCGTGAACAAGAACCCCTGCATCATAGTCAGCCTTCAGATTCAAAGGATTATGATTCCTTTGTTTTACCCCTGCTGGAGGACGAACAACCATGCTTTATATTATTCAGATTAGATACCAAAAATGCCCGGGGATATGAATGGATATTCATTGGGTGGTCTCCAGATCATTCTCCAGATCATCAAAAAATGTTGTACGCAGCAACAAAAGCCACTCTGAAAAAGGAGTTTGGAGGTGGTCACATTAAAGATGAAGTATTTGCAACAGTAAAGGAAGATGTATCATTACATGGATATAAAAAATATTTGCTATCACAACCTCTCCTGCCCCATTGACTGCAGCTGAGGAAGAATTATGACAGATTAAAATTAATGAGAGAACAGTGATGACTAAAGTGGATAAAATGTAAATGCTAAGATGTTTAGGATTTCTAGAAGCGCTATGGATGGGTGCAGAGTGACATGGGTGTGGACACTAAGCATCAGACGCTACAAGGAGTAGCATTTCCAATTTCTTTAGAAGCTTTTCAGACTTTGGAAAAAAATGAGTAACAGCTCAACTATGTGCAACCGGAAATAAATATAAAAAATGAAGTCATAATTTTGGCCAACACAACAAATACAGAACTGAAAGATTTGCCAAAGAGGGTCCCCAAGGACTCAGCATGTTACCATTTCTTTCTGTACAAACACTGCCATGAAGGAAACTATCTGGAGTCCATGGTTTTTATTTATTCAGTGTCTGGGTACACGTGCAGCATAAGGGAGTGGATGCTCTACTCCAGCTGCAAGGGCCCGCTGCTGGGGATTGTGGAGGGACAGCCACAAATGGATGTCATAGACAGCAGGGATGAGCTGACCGCCGACTTCCTTTATGAAGAGGTGCACCCCGAGCAGCATGCTTATAAGTAGAGTTTTGTAAAACCAAAAGGTCGTGCAGGGAAAAGAGGAATTTGAAGACTAAAACTGAAGCCACTACTGATTAAAAGCTACAAATTATGATACTAGTTTTTCTAAAAGTCCATCTTTTAGTACAGAATTGAAATCATTCCATGTTGATATACAGTAGAGAAAAAAATGTACTTCTTGAGAAATAGCACTTTCCATTTCTGTATGTTTCTAAAACTAATGTTATAGAAGACTTGTGATCTCCATTTTTGAGTTAAAGCTACAAAAGGTTTCAACATTGTGATGTTTAATGTTGTTGCACTGTTTTCATAGAGTGATGATTCCACAATTTCACATGATTCTTAAAATCTTATAAATTGGGCCAACTCCACAAAGTCTAATGTCTTAAAGTAAGATACATTTCTTATTACTCTAAGAGAAACAGCATACTTTTTTTTCTGTAAAGGAGAGAGAAAGACCTTAAAATATTCATACCACTTAATAAATCTGTTAAAGGCCAGGTTACATTATATTCTAAGCTGAAAACTCAGCGTGCCTTGGGGGAGGAGGGAAGGCGCTGACCCTGAGGAGCAGTGCCGGCCCCAGACTGAGGGCTCTTGTCCGGGGCTTCCAGAAACCCTGCTGTTATTGCAGAAGTGTTTTCTATTTGGCTTTTTGGTTTCTACGTGGGATTAATATTTCAGAAGATCAGCTCATTCTGAAATTTAAGGATACCAGATATTTTCTCTACTGCAGGATTTCTGATGACATTGAAAGACAATATTTAAACATATTTACTACATTATCTTCCTAGCGCTTTAAGACATTTCCATTTCAAAAGTAAGTTATTTCATATGAGAAATGCACATTTCATAGTATAAAATATGAAACGCTCATTTTTACACCTTACTAGCTAAGGTAATAGATGGACCTTTCAGAGCATGTGTTCAAATAAAGCATGTTAGTATAATTATGGGTTAATGGGTTTTCTCTAGAATTAAGAGTATTTATGTGAGGTTTTGCTTGTTCAAAAATAATCAGACTATAATATTTAAACATGCAAAATAATTGACAATAATGTTGCACTTGTTGACGATACACTGTTACTCATAGGTGCGCGCGCGCGTGCGCACACACGCACACATGTTACTGCACTGAGATCCCTCGAGCTTCACTGCAGACTGTAGCCAAATCTGTTACTGTCAGCCAAGAATAATGTTGACATGTCATGAGGGTATAAAATAATTTTATATTGAATGTTTTTCTGTACCATCCATGTGCAATTATACTTAAATTCTACATTACATGAAAGTAAATGGATGTTCCAGAATATAGATGGAATAATACTCTTTAATTATCATGAAACCAAAAATTCCTCAACATCGGTGATGCACCTATTAGTGTAACATTGAGAGTGTGTCATAGGTGATGTCCTAACAGTGGACTGTAAATGAAGCATTCCCATTAATTACACTTACATAGCAGTGGAGAAGTACATACATTCTATGGACATTTTATAAGTGTACTTTATATCAATAAAAATTTTTCTCTTAAAAAAAAAGAAGTAATTAATACAAAAAGGCCCTATGTACCCTTTACTCAGTTTCATCTAATGGTAGCATCTTGCAAAACTGTAGGAAAATGTGACAATGGAGATACTCAGATTGATAGTCAAGATACTGAATATTCCCATCACCGGTATGATTGATTCCTCATGTCCTTTATATCCACACCCACTTCCCTCCTGCTTCCACCCCCTTTAACTCTTGGTATCTAGAAACCTGTTCTGTTTCTACAATTTTGTCATTTCAAGAATGTTATAATAAATGAAATTGTGCAATAAGTAACCTTTTGAGATTGCCTGATGACTTTTAAATTGAGATATTCATATACCATGAAATTTAACCCTCTCAGTGAACCACAAATTTGGTAATTTTTAGTATATTTACAGATTTGTGCAAGCATCACCACTGTCCAATTACAGGACATTCTCATCACCCCGAGAGAAACTCCATGGCCATCGGCCAGACTTCCCATCCTCCCATTTCAGCTCCTCACAGCCACTAACCTATTTTCTGTTTCTTACAGATTTGCCTATTCTGGACATTTCGGATAGAGTGTCAGACAATATGAAGTCTCGTGTGTGGTTTATACCACATTTGCTTCTCCACTCATTTGATGGACATTTGGCCTGTTCCTGCTTTTGGCTGTTATAAGTAAAACTACTGTGACACTCATGTAAAACCTTTTGTATGAACACATTTTCATTTCTCTTGGGTAGATTGGGAAGAGTGGATTTCTTGAGTCACAAGGTAACTGTTTAGCCATCTGAAGAACTGCCAGAGTATTTTCCACGTAGACTACACCATTTTACATTCCCACCATCATCTGATTATTATTTTTTTTTTACTTTTAGTATCATTAATATACAATTAAATGAGCAACATTGTGGTTACTAGATTTCCCCCATTATCAAGTCCCCCAACATACTCCATTAGAGTCACTGTCCATCAGTGTAGTAAGATGCTGTAGAATCACTACTCGTCTCCTTGGTGCTCTCCTGCCCTCCCCGTGCCCCACCCCATGTTATATCTGCTAATTGTAATGCCCCTTTCCCCCCTTGTCCTTCGCTTCCCACCCATCCTCCCCAGTCCCTTTCCCTTTGGTAACTGTTAGTCCATTCTTGGGTTCTGTGCTTCTGCTGCTGTTTTGTTCCTTCAGTTTTTCTTTGTTCTTATACTCCACAGATGAGTGAAATCATTTGGTACTTGTCTTTCTCCGCCTGGCTTATTTCACTGAGCATAATACCCTCTAGCTCCATCCATGTTGTTGCAAATGGTAGGATTTGTTTCCTTCTTATGGCTGAGTAATATTCCATTGTGTATATGTACCACCTCTTCTTTATCCATTCATCTACTGATGGACACTTAGGCTGCTTCCATATCTTGGCTATTGTAAATAGTGCTGCAATAAACATAGGGGTGCATGTTTTTTTCAAACTGGGCTGCTGCATTCTTAGAGTAAATTCCTAGGAGTGGAATTCCTGGGTCAAATGCTATTTCTATTTTGAGTTTTTTGAAGAACCTCCATACTGCTTTCCACAATGGTTGAACTAATTTACATTCCCACCAGCAGTGTAGGAGGGTTCCCCTTTCTCCACAACCTCGCCAACATCTGTTGTTGTTTGTCTTTTGGGTGCTGGCCATCCTAACTGGTGTGAGGTGATATCTCATTGTGGTTTTAATTTGCATTTCTCTGATGATGAGCGATGTGGAGCATCTTTTCATGTGATCTGATTACTTTTCAACTTTGGCAACTAATTTAAGTCTTTAAAAATCATGGCGGAGGGCAGGGCAGTCAAGCAAGCCCTGTCTGCTGGTCAGATGTGGCCACCCACTCGCAGCCTTGGCTTTGGGCATTGTGTGTTGGGGGGATGCACGGAGCCAAGGGGCTGGAGAGGGCAGAGCAGGGGCCCCAAGAAAAGCAGGGAGGCAAGGGCATGGCCCGGGAGACACAGACTCAGCACCCAGCAGATCCCTCAGGCACGTGGTCACACAGGCGGGAGATACTCCCTGACACACAGACAGACAAACGCAGGCACCCAGAGTTGCAGACCCTGCTTCCTCTCAGAGGGTCCCGGGGGGGAGGGCTTCGTGGCCTTGCTGCTCGCAGGCTCACCCTGTGTCTCCAGGTCCAGAGCAGGTGCCCTGGGCTGTGTGACCACCCTGCCCTGCCTGGGAAGGGGCTTGATGGCTGCCCAGATGAGCAAGGCGTGGGCCCCGGGCCCCCAGCTCCTTCGGGGTACACTGGTGCTGATGGGGGGTGGCCCTGGCCAGGAGGCCCCTAGCCAACACTTCTGGGGGCTCCACTACGAGGACGCTGAGGTCTCCCCAGAGGCCTGGGCCTGGCTCCGGGAGCTGTGCCTCCAGTGGCTTCAGCCAGCGGTGCCCTCCCAGGAGCAGGTACTGGGGCGACCCCTCACCCTTCAGCGTCCCCGGGCCACACTCCCGTGTTTTCAGGTTCTTACCCTCCCCCCACCCCCGCCGGGGCTCTGTTCCCGGTTCTCCCTGAGTCCCCGCTGACTGAGGTCTGTTGCTCCTTGGCTTTCCTCGGGGTCTCCATGGGGGCAGAAGTCATGCAGAGACTCGGGCGCAGGTCCCACCTCCAGACCTCCGGGCTGTGCCCTTGTCTGGGAACACTTATTCCCTGCATCATTTCTTCCTTCCTCACCTGTGCGGAGGCCCTGAGCCCCAGACGCTGGGGACCCCAGTAAGTCTCAGGGCGGAAACGGGTATGGGGGACTCAAGGCCCAGGTGAAGAGGCTGGGCGGGGACACGAGGCGGAGGCTGCGGTGCCCTCGCAGCGTGCAGAGCTTCTCCATCAGGACGAGGGAAGGGCAGCCAGCCTGGAGGGCCGGGGCAGTCGGCAGGCCTGGGGTCAGCGGGGGGCACTCAGGCGAGGGGGCCTGGCAGCTGCCTGAGGCTGGGGCCTCCCCCTCCGCGCACCAAGCCGCAGCTTTGGCCCCTTGGAGAGGGGCAGTGACTCCAAGCTGCCCTGCACGGCAAGGGTCTGTGCCCAGTATCACTTTCGAGCGGCTGTGGGCCAGGGAAAAGAGGCTTGAAGGCTCCGATCTCCCGCTCCTCAGCCACCCTCGTGTTGACCTGCACGGGGCCCAGCGAGCCAGCGGTGACAGCTGCCTAAGTCCTTCCCGGCAGAGCTGAGCGACCCCGTGCAGCTCACAGGGCAGGTGCAGACCCCGGGGCTGGGCTGGGCTCCCCTTCAGGGTCGGCCTGAACTCTGAGCTCTGCCAGGAGCCCTC